AAATAAGTAAAGTATTTTTCAAGAGCACAAAAATAATGAAGCTAAATGCCATAAAAGAGAGGAAAAAATGTTGAATTTTAAGAAATTCGGTTTTTTGAATTTTTGATAATTTTCGATAATTTTAGATTTTTTACCAAAGAGTCGAGACTATTAAATAAGTAAAGTATTTTCCAAAAGCACAAAAATAATGAAGCTAAATCCCATAAAAAAGAAGAAAAAATGTTGAATTTTAAGAAATTCGGTTTTTTGAATTTTTTCGAATTTTCGATAATTTTGGATTTTTTACCAAAAAGTAAAGACTATTAAATAAGTAAAGTATTTTCCAAGAGCACAAAAATAATGAAGCTAAATGCCATAAAACAGGAGAAAAAATGTTGAATTTTAAGAAATTCGGATTTTTGAATTTTTGATAATTTTCGATAATTTTAGATTTTTTACCAATGAGTCGAGACTACTAAATAAGTAAAGTATTTTTCAAGAGCACAAAAATAATGAAGCAAAATGTCTCAAAAAAGAAGAGGAAATGTAAAATTTTTTAAATTTTGGTTTTTTATATTTTTGACAAGTTAATTCTTGACGAGAATTTTTAAAAATGTTTAAAAATAAACAAAAAAATCCCTGACTTTCCCCTGATTTCTCTGTCCTATGGCAACCCTGAATTATTACCTTATAGTTAACCAATTTTAATCTATTTATCAGAATGTCAGGAGAAAAAAATGATTATTTACAGAATGAAATTTGTAAATTTCTGCTTTGAAATGATACCAAGAGATGCTTGAGGTTATGTTATCACCGCGTGGTGTTGCGGAGTAAGAATGAATGAGGGGTCGCGAAAGGGATGTGTGCATGCGAAGTAAAGGGTTGTAGTAGAATAGTGACAGTGGTGGGTGAGTCGAAGCTTGAGGACGTCAACGATGACGAAGGGGACAGAGGGTTAGAAATACTGGATAACGTCGCTTGTTGTAGGTGGACCGGGAAGGGAAATTTGCGATCAATACCCTCGCCACGCCTCGCGCCACCACCTAACCTGCAAAACTTGACTTTTTCAAGCATCCTCTGGTCCACTGTACCGACTGAACCCTGGAGCTTTTAAATCAACTGCACACCTCTCTAATCAAAAGTACATATCCTAAAAAATGCTACCTTTTCAGTGGAAAAAATTAATTTTTTCTAATCAAAAACAAAAATTTATTTTAACTCTGGTATATTTATAATTCTTTATTTTTACGTTCAAATCCTAAAGGCACAAATTATGAATTATAATAAATAATTCTAAATTTTATAACCTAAAATTTGGATTTATAGAAAACATGAATATAACAATTATTTATGCTCTTGGAAAATTAGACCAGTTTTTAAAAAAAAGTTTCTAATAAAATTTATTGTGTTGCCCCTGTGAAGAAAAATTTTTCCGCATAAAATAAAATTAGAAACTTTTTTTGCTGTTTTATTGAAAAGTTCTGACCCCAATGAATGGGGTCAAAGAGCATACTGAAATAAATGGAGTTTCCGCAGATGCCACCTTTATGCAAGAAGCAGTGCTGCAAAAACTTTCCCTGAACTCTGTTAGGTGCCACCTGTTTCATTGCTGCGGTAGTGTTTTTTTATAGTTTGACTATATATTATAATTCAATTGGCCTTTTGTTTTTAAAAACTAAATCGAGTATTTTTCATACGAGTTAAATAACTTTTACAACAAATATCACTGAAAATATGCACCGACAATGACATTAAATCAATAATTACTGACATAAATTCCTTTCATACTTGGCAATTTAGAGTTTGTTTTAAATTATTAGTTTAAATAAGACTAATTTTTATTTTGATAAAATCGAAGTGATTAATGTTTCATAAAGTAAACAAATTTTAAACAATTTAAAAAATTAAAAAATTAAATAAAGATAAATTTAATTAACTTAATTAATTAATAATCAGAAATTGAATAATTAATGCAGCTGAACACAATATTTAAGTGCACTCAAACAAATATTACTGATCAAATATTTCGCCTTCGGAAATAAATAATATCTGTATATTTATCAAATATTTACAATAAAAAATTATTTGCAACTGATCTGTTTACTAAGTATTTCGTTTCACTTTGAATAATTAATAAAGGGTCAAACTTTTTTAGCACAAATAATTTTTACCCTATAACCGAGATAAGTATAAAAAAAAATTCGATAATAGAATCAATAAAATAATATAATTTTCAAAATTTAGTAAAAATCTTACCGATTCCTGTTAAAAAAACAAGCCGATTTGGAGTAATATTTGTTATATTCTTTATAAATCCACGACACATCCAAGCAATCATAACCTAAAAAAAATTGACAAAAAATAAAACTTTAAACACAAAGTATAAAAAATCATACAAAACATACAAAATTAATAAAATAAATACAATAAAATCGATATAAATAGAATTAATTGTACGATAGTCTTCCTTTTTTACTTTTACCTGTGATAAAAATCTGTTATTCATGTTCAAAGGAGTAAAAATTCTCCGACACATTTCGATCATATAATTACTTATTTTCCCACAAATTTTACAAAATAAGTGAATCACTTCATATTTTTGACAAAATACTACAAGAATTAAGTTAAATATCGTTCAAATTCTTATCAGATTCAAGGAAAAACTTGTCAACAATTGTCAACAATTGAGAAAACGTGTCTAACAAAAATGGCGTCGTGTTCAAAATTACACAGTAAAAATGAAGCGTTTCTATTGGTAGTTTAATAATTGTGGCGCTAAAATCACTAAGTTTTCTGATTGGCCACTACTTATTAGCGGAAATTCTAAACACTATAAATGCATTTTGATTGGGTCATCGTCTCTGGCGGGAAAAATTTAAACAATTCAAAATTTCTCTTTATTTGTTAATTTAATAATTCTTAATTGTTACTAATTACTTTTAGCAATTACAATAAAACTGTTTGGAAAATAAAATGTGAAATAAATTTAAAAAAATTATTTATAAAATCTATAGGAAAATACAATAAAAAAACCTAATTATTATATATTCAAGAAAATTAATTAATATAGAAATAAATAATTATAAAACTTACAAATTATATTACATTAATTATATTATACAAAAATTTCTTTGATTACTTATTATTTATTTTAAATTTATTATTTATTTAAATTTATTTATTTATTATTATTTAAATTGAATTTAAAATATGAAAAACTGTATTTATAGTTTTGCAAATTAAAAATTGAGTTTGAGAAATTGAAAATTAAATAAAAAATATTAAATTAATTAAGTGTATCCTGTCAAATTAAAAAAAAAATCTTCACAATTATTGTAATATAAACGTCTAACAGGTGATAATTAATTAGGTAGGCATCACGGTTTCAAATTCCAATGACAAATGAATCCCTTTAGACCTTGGTTCGGTAATTTTGAACAAATGCAACGCTACCAAAGGAGCCAAGTATTGTTTATTACCTCCAAGGGAATTCTTGTGCTATGCACAAGAGCCCATTTTCTCTGACAAGGAATGTCTAGGTAATAGGAAAATAAATAACAATTCGGAGATAATTTATGTCTAATTTACTTTCCGCAACGTGTCCGCACTGAATGTTATTTTTTAATTAATAAAGAGTTATTTTATTTTTTAAAAGAAAAAAATTAATACGTGACTAAAAAATAAACATAAAAAATTAAAATACTTAAAATAATGAAACAAATACTATATGGACAATTAACATAATTTAATTAAAAATATCAGTAAAGAACAATATTTTGGCTGCAGTCAAAAGAATGAAAGAAAAAATTCCATAAAAAGAATAAAAATAAAGAAATTAAAAAAGAAATTGTTACATTTAAGGGTAAACAAAGGCGCAAGGTAAAGTTACTTCAAAATCAAAGATATAATATTGGACATCAGCCAAGTTAGTTAGCTTGCATAACAAATCATTTAGAGTAAAAATAAAATTCCAACGTCAAGGTCTTGGACCTTACACGCATAGTCAAATAAGTGGACGATTTAAAAATTCAGATAATTGGAAACAGAATTCAAAATATTGCCAAGTGTCAACTGGAACAATTTTAATTTAATATTTCACCCAATTTGTCAAATCCAATACAATTATATTAAAATATTTTCTAAAAATAAGAGATTTAATACGAACCTTTGAAATAAATTAAATAACTAATTATCAATTAGATTCAATATTATAAATAATTTACATAAGGACAATATTCTATTTATTTAATTTTCTAGGAACGTTTTTTTCAAGCAAAGCTTCCTTGTAGGTAAAATTTAATTTTACAATCATTTGCATTTAATAAATATCTAATAATTAATTAATTAAATATTTCCAGGTGAACAACTAATCAATTTTATAATTCAAATTCAAAATATCACAAGTATCAAATTTGGTCAACTACTGTCAACACTTATCGTATTTACTTTTACCCCAAAAAAAATAAGAAAAACCTATATATTTAAGAATAAAGGGCGTAAATTGCAAAAATAAAGATAAAACAACACTGATCCCTATTGCGATTATCAGATATAATTCCAATTTACCGAAAAAATGGAATAATCCCCCAAAAAACAAATTTCACCATTGTTCAAAGCATTCATTTTTCTTTTTAAATCTCTTTGTCAAAGAGAATTCACAGAATAATGGAAACAAATGTTCATACAAAAAGCAAATATGAAAAAAAGAATAATGACAAAAAAACTAACACATAGTTACCATTTATATGCGAAATTAAAAATTTTTTTTTGCCTGACAAAGGCGTATCCGTGCAATATAGCATTTGTAAAAAAAGTGAGGTTATGTCCGCAAATTCAAAAAAGTTTTGTGCAATTTTATTGTTTCACGAAAAAATAATTAGCGTCAAACGTCAAATTATATATGTATGTATATATAAAATTTGAGGTTATCTTGTCATTCTTGGCAGATCGATGTTCACTGGGGGTTTACGTGTATGAAATTAACAAAAAAGAACATTACATAAGTTTCACTGCTTACCTCGTGTCGCTTATGTTATTACTGACACATTACAACATGTGGCACTTATTAGGACAGACTGGAAACACTAGAATTAATTAATAAACACTTTGAAAACGTCAACTTTTATCACAAAAGCATGATCCAAAACTTTGAGCAAACGAAATCAACTTGCACACACGAGCACACGAACATCAATGACGTCACTTCAGTACCGGCAAATCCGGTCCGGAAATTGCGCCCCTAGCGGCGTTTCTCTCAAGCTCTTTGCCAACCAAACCTAACCTATAAATCATCAGGGAAAATGTCAATATTTACGAAATAAACAAAAACCACAATATAAATATTATTAATAGTAATTAAAAAACAATTATTTTAAATATTTTTAAAGTGAAAAGCGATTTTTCTGTTATAAATATCAGTGATAATATCAAAATTTGTCTTTTAATTTTAATACATTTTGTAAAAATGTTGGTTTTACTAATGTTACTATAATTATCGAAGGGGAATTTTAATATTGTATACATAAAATAGTTTAAAAAGTTAAAAATTAATAAAGATATATATTTAAATTGATAATTCCATTTAGTATATATTTTGGTAAGTTTGTTTTTAAAATCAATGTTTCTTTTTACTGTGAAATATTTTTTTCACTTGTCACCATTTCCTGATGATTAATTAAATTATTTTGCAGAAAAAAACATAATGCCACCCTCACCGTACGTGTCACGAATTAATCAAATCGACGCTCAACAATTAGATCACGAAATCTATGAAATTTTTCGCACTCAATCGAAACAAATAACAAAAGATGTACGACCAGGAATTATTGACAAATGGCAACCAGAAATTGACGTTTTTATTAAATTTCTAATTTGGTTTTATTCTTTAAGAAAAGGAGATGCGACATTCGGACAGCAACTTTTAAATTTAAAATACAATGGAATTAATCAGAGAAAGGCCATTATTCATTTTTTACTTGCAAATTTACCAAGATATATCCAAGAGCGTGTTATAGATTCACAGTACATTATAATATCACGTGACAAAAAATTAAAAAACTACTTTGAATGGACAGCGAACATTATTCGTATTATCGAATTAGTAAATTTAATATTATTCCTCCATCGAGGAACACAACCAAATTTAATTGAACGATTATTAGGAATTTCCAGTCAATCGTCAATAACAAATAGACCAAGGAACATTGGATATTCTTACATGACGAGGGAATTACTTTGGCATGGTTTAATTGAATTATTTACAATTGGTCTGCCAATGGTGAATTTTTACTACATCAAACAAAAATGGAATCAATTGTGGATGAAAACGAGAGGTGAGAGAAAAATTGTCAACATTCGACCTTTATTGGATTTAATGACTAATTGTCCTCATTGTTATCAGAGGCCAATTTTACCAAGACACGCAGGTTGTCGGCATATTTTTTGCTATTATTGTTTGCAGGCATATTTCACCGCAACTGATACGTTTCCTTGTCCCGAGTGTGGGACAAATTTACATTCTTGCAATATGCTCTCAGTTTAATTTATTTTACTTTTCTTACAATAGCAATTATTGTACAATATCTATTCTATAATTTTGAAATTTTAAAAAATGTTATTTAATTTTTAAACGGGTTTGTAAATAATATAAAGAACTTTTTTATAATTGTAAATAGTTGTAAATTTGTTGACTTTTTTAAAATTAAGTTAAAATTTTTTCTTAAATTCAAGACTAGATAAGAAAAATGGAGTGAATTCATGAATAACAGAAGAAATTTTCTAAAAAAAAACTACGGAGAGAAACGATAATTTTCTAATAGGGCGTGCAAAGACTGTTTTTATTAAAAAGTAGCAATACAAAATCTTTTTTTTTTTAATTCTCTCAATACATCTCTGCTCAAGGCTTTCAATAATGAGTTTTTTTTAAATTTTTTTCGAACAAATAATAATAATAAATCAATTCAGAGTAGATCTGTAGTTTATCAAAATATTACATTGTGTATAATATATCATATAAAAATATCATGCTGCACTATTATAAAACGTATACCGCTGCTTAGATATATCTATTATTAATATTATTATTATTATTTATATAATATATTACTAGTTGCACCTAGATGGGCGGGTACGTCCCTTGATTAGTATCGTATATATATATTATAATCGGTAATAGTAAAAAAATTTACAAACAATATCCATTCCTTTAAGTAATCGTTATTGCGTGGAATGTTGATTATAATACAATTTCTTTACAATGCTGGCTTTCGGGGCACTTTTACCTTCAAAAAGAAATAATTTATTCCTACAATTGCTCATTTGTAATATTTGTTTTTTTTTAAATCCAGAGACTAGATAACGCAATGAGAGTAAAGAACTTTAATTTCGCCAGCGAATTCTCGAAACCTGTTTATTATTCTTTGAAAAGATTTTTTCGATTTTAAAAAAATAGTTTACATTACTGATTTAAAATTTATTTTATTGACTTTATTTTATTAGGGAAATATTTTCTCGACTTGTCAAATATAGGATTTGGTTTTTTTTTAAATTTATAAATTAACGATGCAAAAAGGTAATAAGTAATTAATCAGGAAGCTCTAATAGAAGCCTGTCCGGTCAGTCTGATTACGTTTGCGTTCCTACGGACACGCAATTTTATTATCTAAACTCTCTTAATATATCAAGAACCTTTTTTTTTGCATTTCGTATTACATAAATTTGTTTTTCTTGTACATTCCATTACGTGAGTCGAGAAATTCTCTTTTATTTGAATTTAAATCGATAAAAATCCAGAGAAATAATTTTGTCGATTTATTTCAAAGAAAATAATTTTCCCCTGCAAAAAAAAAACTTGCACTTGTTGAGACTCTTTTTCGTGGAAAATATTTTTTTGTGAAAAAACGAAGTTATAAAAATTTTACAAAATTTTTACAATCGTCGACATTTACTATCTCGTCATTTTTTCCACTTTATCTCAACAATCCCAAGAGGAAATGCAAGCAATTACGCTTTTTATAAATATAAATGAAATCTACATGGGGGAAAAATAAAAAAAAATTCTAGATCGAAAATGAACTTTTCGGTATTTTTTTTAGTTCCACCGATATCAAATCGATAATAAAGACATTTATGAGCTAATGCTTGGAACTATTTTATTTTTATTTTCTTTTTTTTATGGCCGCACATAGAGGGGCCGATGCATTTTTCTGATAAAGAGAGAGGTATGTCATGTTATTTGCCATTCGCAAAAAAAATGTCAAAGGGGTAATATTTAGGCAAAAAAAGATAATATTAAAAACCCGTTTTCTTTTCCGCTGAGATTTAATCAATTTTTTTCCTTATAGCCCCTGATTGTTGCAAAAATTTCTCGCGACATTTGTCAAAGTTTTCTTTTCTCTTCAACTATTTCGAATTTATCACTTGTATTTTTTTTACTGCAAATCATTTTTTTATTTTCATTTCTTTACAAATAAATCACTAACATACTTTTTTCATACGATATAATTAGGAACATGAGGACTTTTTTAAAATTCAAATCCTATTTGATATTTAATTAGCAATCGTCTAAAGAATACGATAGTTGGGAAATTTTTTTTATTTTCCTCGCATATACAAAAAAAAGGAAAGGGCGAAAAAATAAATTTCATCCGTGTATCGATTCTAAATCAGATGGAGAAAATTTTTACGAAATTTTTTCTATTGACGCGATTTTTTCGTGAGATTTTCGCTGTTTCGTTTTAATTCGCTCTTGTATTTTCGAATTTATCGTTATCCACAGAGAAAATCTTAGTTTTTTCATTTAAACCATTTCGCGACTAATAAAAAATATTCGAAATATTTTCGGCAAAAAAAATTTATAAAATTTTTTTGTAATAATGAATTGGGAAACAATTTTTTAATTCACTTCTAAGAAGATTATTTTTTTGTATTAATTCAATTCCATGCTCATTTCTCTTTTTTAAATGAATTACGAATTAATAAATTTAATTATAACAAACTTGACCTAATTAACAGATTATTACCGAACTATAAGCAACAAAGATAACATCAGTAGACTTATACACAGGCACATTTTTAATTACTTAGCACGCGACTCGGCTTATTTTTATATATTTAACAAATGAATAATTTATGCTTAAAACTTTATAAGTTTAGTCATCAATCCTTAGCAATAAAATCGTTTGCTAGGCACTTGAAAGCTCGTTCATTTTATTGAACCCTCGACTTTTTTCTTCTTTAAATCTTGGGCAATTTCGATCTTAAGATTCTTTTTTAAATAAAATAAATAAATACAAAATGGTATTCTAAAAGAAAATATTCAATAACATTTATATTACTGAACGAGATTTTTTTAGAATCTTTCAAAAGAAACCATTTTTATTTACGCTCAATATGAAATTATAATTTTCAATTTTTTTCTTTTTGAAAAATGTAGAAAAAAATTAAAAATCAAATTTCTTCTATTTTTTTGCATCGACAAAATAATGTCCAATCTGTAAATATATATAAAATTATTTTTAACATTTGAAAATATTTATGACGAAAAATATTTTATACATTTTTTCAAAACATTTCTATTTCGATAACTTAAATTAGAAAAAAATGAGCAAAAAAGAATCTTAAGATCGATATTATTATCAATTATAACAATGAAGTGTTTACAAGTGCCAAGAGAAAAAAAAAGAAAAAAAAAGGTTTAAAACCAAAATAATTTATAACGCAACGAAAAATTCTGCTATAAAAAAAAAGAAATATATTTTTGCATTATTTTCGCGCGATTCGTATTACTCGTAAAAGAAACTAATTAGTCTCTGATTAAGTTTTGTAGATTTAGTCGTTAAAATAAATTAACGACTCTTTTTTTTAAATATAAATATCGATATTTTGAAACCGCTTTTTTTTCCCACCTGGCAACGAGCTTCAGGGCTTTCGTTAAAAATGTGCTGAAATCATCGAATTTGCGATTAGAAAAAATTTTTTTATCACGGTACGACAATTTTTTTTTAATTTTAAATTTTAATCTTCATTTTCTGTTGGTCGGCGTGCATTCAGCGTTTTCACTGGCAATAAATACTTTTTCTTTATACATATTTATATAATAATTATAACTTATTTTATTAAAACTCGAAAACGTCAATTTCTTTTCTAAAACTGCTACTCAGTTTAATTCCTTTATTAAATTTTTATCTTTCTTAGTTAATTATTCTTTAAAGTGTCACTTTCGTGTAATTGTCATTTTAATATTATCGTTATTATATTATTCCTTCAAAGATTTTAACTTTATTGTATTAGAAAAAAAAGAATGAAACAAATTTAGTTAAATTAACTAGATAATGAAAAAAAATTTATAGTGACTGTTAAAATTGCAAAAAAGTCTTTGAAACTTTGACTAAAAGAAGTCATTTAAAGGATATTAAAAGAAAAAAAAAGGAAAAAAAGTCTCCACGTTTTCGAGCTTAGTCTGAATTATGCACAGTTAGTAAATTTGAGAAATCGTTGAATGCATTTGCCAACGGGACCCTCCTCGCCCATCATTTCTTTTTATTCAAGTACAGAACTTTAAAATCTCCAAACGCGTTTTTAAATTTTCAATCGAAGAAAACTATCTAAATACTTTTTATTTTCGCGTTTGTAGAATTTTTTTCGCTCTAACACCTTAATAACCTCCTTCATCACAGACAAAGACGACACAGAACTCGGTCGATTGATATAACAACTATCTAATTAAAGTACGAGAGTTAATTAATATTCTCGAATTTTTTTTCTTCGCCTTCAAGATGTTTCGTCATTTGATTGATTTTTCTTCTTCTTTTTCTATTCAAAACAGAATTCATCTTTGAAGTGAGAAAAAAATAAAATAAACGTCTCAACGTGAGACGATAAACAATTGATTTTTTTCGAGTCTACTCGACTTTTCTTATTTTACGCTAAAATATCTAATCGATCGACAAGGCAACGAAAAACAACATTAACAGAGAAAAATTCAAAACACTTTCCTTATAATCTAAAATTTGAATACGGAACCGAAAAACCGAGAAAAAAAGAAAGAAAAAAAAATAAATGTGCGTTTTTTTAAAAAAAATAAACAACTCGTCCGATTCGCGAAACTATTTTCTTCGAAAGTATCATGCAATTTTTTCTCCGTTGGAGACAATTTTTTTTCGCACCTTATAATTAATCGCGAAATTAAGTTTCAATTTTTTTTCAAAGGGGCGGGGACTATTTTTTTAGTGCTTGCAGAAAAGCACATTAAATATATACGATTTGTTAAAAAAAAAAAAACAATAAATAAATCACCACTTGGTATCGAGATTACTCTTAATCGATGGCGGCGTACTTGCAGAAGAACTTATTTTTCTTTCTGCACCTGGCGCGGCACTGCCGGAAAATGGACTAGATCTTTTGTTCAATTCGCTTATCATGAGGCCAATTTTACGTCTTGCGCCCCAAGCTGTTACTCCAAGTTCAATGAGGTCCTTTTCCGTCAAAGAAGGGAAGGTGGCCATGTCAATTTCCTGACGTTGGAAGAGATCTGATACAGGGGAATAATTAACATTAAATAGTATAATCAAATTATTGTTATAAACATTAGTTAACAATTTTAATTTTTATTTAATAATCAATATTTAGTAAAATAAGAATTTAATTTATTCACTGAAATATTTAAAAACTAGTTTCGTTATAGACGAATAGTGAAATAATTTTCTTTAAACTTACGATTGTATTTTTCAAGACCCACACTTGCCAGAAGGCTTGGTAAGTCACTGTATTGTTGAGCAGTGATCTTTTTTATTTGTCCCGAAGGTGTATGATCCATGAAATTAGAAGCCATTCCAATTTGATTACTACGTTCGCTACTCGTTGAAATTCCAAAGTCCATTGCTGTATTGAAAACGGGAGTTGTTGGCTCCTTCCACAAGTCTGACGGATGACTTGCTGAATCCTGATAAAAATTTAGAGAAAAATTAATTTAAATTCTTAATAATTACTTTTTTTAAAAAGTTCAATTTATTAAATAATTTTTAAATTTATTTTTAAAATAAATGAAGTCTTTATTTTCTAAAACAAATGGAAATATTTAATATTCACCTTTGTCATGTCACCTGCAGATGTAAGGGGAGTACTTTGACTGAGTCCATAGCCAGTCCAGGCAGAATTTGGAACTCGATAGTCAGTTGGATTTGGTTTCGATTGCATTGCCTTGACTGCAAGCATTTTTTTCTGCTCATAATCAAAAGGCGTGAGATTCTGATGCATTTCCAAAGATTTTTTCTCACATCCAGGTGCTCGACGATCATTCACAGTAAGATCTGAAAGTAAAGCTGCCAAATCTAGAAAACAAAAATTTGCAATCAAAAATATAATTTAAAAACAATAAACAATATTTATTTTATTTATTATTTTTATTTTTTTTATTTTTTTTTTTATTTTTTTATTTTTTTATTTTATTATTTTTTTTATTTATTGAGAAAAATAAGTTTAATTATTACAATTTTAAAAATAAATTATTCACAGATTTTGTTTTTACCAATATTAGAAGTATTAGAGTCCACAGGATTAACCGGAGAAGAGTTTCGAGGACTAATAGCAGGACTAGAAAGTGAACTGGAAACGCTGCTCAATGAAGAGTAAGCTAAAATACAAAAGTCAAGAAATAAATAATCACAATAAATTTTTAGTAATTTTTTCAAATAAAAATAAAATTTCATGTAAGGAAAAATGATTTACTCACCACTACCTCCTTTATTATCCGATAGAGAATTAGCATTCAGACCTAAATTATTCATGCTGGCGAAAACGCTGGGCAAATTAGGATGAACCTGATTTAATGATGATAAATTTTGTCCGGACATTCCATGCTGTTGTGACATTGATGCCATCATTTGTTGTGTCGTTAATAGATGATTCAAGTGCGAGACAACATAGGGATTAGGATGAACAGGAAGCGGCGAGAACATTGACGGAATCGTTGGAAGACCCCAATGTGGCGAGAGGCTCAAAGGATTTGGCGAGTGCATCATCGGCGATACACAATACGGTGGATTTTGCGTGTTCACCGTTAACATATTCGAGAAATTATCCGATCCCGCGCCGAGTACATTATGTAATCCTAGTGAAATGAATTTTTTTAAATAGTAAATTAAATTGTGCAGAGTCCCTTAAGTAAATACTTTAATTAATTAATTAAAATTGTACAAACAAAAAATTAATTAATTAGTTAAATGAATAAAAAATACCAACCAGTGTTGTTATTTGCCGGAAAAACATTAGTAGCATTTGGAATGTGATAAGTCGTTGGAATTTCAGCATGAACTCTTGGTTCCTCCAAAGCAAGAAGTTGCTTTCTTGCCTCATAAATATTGCTCGCATTTCTTTCTATCCCCTTGATGATAACAGAAAGCGTACTTTGTTTTGGCTTGTGTCGAACATTTATGAACACATCTAATGACTGCATCAAATTGGAAATGTTTTCCGAGTCCACTGACGAGACGGAATCTTCCGGCAAATCGAACATAAGGACTAGAGGCAAAGAACCCTGTAAATCGAAAAGACAACTTTAGTAAAATACAATAATAAATCATTAATTTTATTTATTTATTTATTTATTTTTAAACACCTGTAAATTTAGTTGATTTAAAAAAAGAATTTCTTAATTATTTCTTTTTTGCATTTAAATATTGACTAAGAATTAGAAAGTTGAAATTATTGAGTCGTTAAGTCATAAAATATGCGAACAAAAATTAAACTTGACATTTATATAAACATTTAAATGAAAATATCATAATTCATGAATAATTTGTCCTAATAAATGATTCGAGATAGATCATTCAAGGTGTTATTTAAGACAAATACGATTCACTAAACAGCTGCAGTTAAAATCGTAAAGCGTTTATTGAAGATGAACAGAAGTGACCTTGCATTAAGAATATCTCGCGACTGACTTAGAAGAGGTCAAGAAATAAATGACTTGGAACGTTATTTTTAAACTGAAACAGGTTTATAAACCAATATCTACGGAAATGCGTATTTTCTGCCCTTAACCTTCCCAATAATTAAATATTGTCTTTTATTTTCTATTTACGCAAAACAATCTTATCTGAATCCAGATGGAGAAGTAATACAATCTTCAATCAATAAATTACTTGTTTAAATTTCTTCACTACTCAGTTATTCAGAATTTTTCTTTCTTTTTTAACACGCGGATTACAAATGAAAATGTTCTAAATTTGTGCAATTTTTTTGTCTTATTTATTTACTTAATCTTAAGAAAAAAAAGATTTTATTTATTTATTTGTTTTCTTTTTATTGAATTAATGATAAAACTATTTTTCTTCAATTTAATATCTCAAAGTCTTCTAGTAAATCATCAACAAGTGATGTGTATTAACGATGTAGACAAAAATAATAGAGATAAGATTCAAAAAGAGTGCAAATATTTTCCATTATAAATTTACAATGTTGCGAAAAAATGATGAATTATCTGGACGCGATAAAGTTGCGCACGTACGACAAATTATCAAAATCGTTATGGTTTTTTGTATTAACTTTCGTCATTTCAATTTTTTTTTTCTGTCAATAATGATACTCTGTACATTTTATAATCAATCTTTTTTTGTAAATGCGATTTGTTCATTATTTTCGTTCAAAAAAAAATTTTGTTTTAGAAATTTATTTATCATCTTCTTTCTAATAAAGAGTAAAAACTGTTTTCAAGAATCTAAAAAGGAAAAAAAAACATTTCCGTTTTATGAAAAATTAAAAGTTAATTAACATCTAAATTACTTATTAGAACAATTTTCTACAACTTTATATTTGGAGAAAGTAGAAAAAATGTTGACCGTTAACCCAAAATAAAAATTCTAAATGACGTAATATTCATAAAAGCAAAATTTAAGATTCAAAGATCAAAATATTTTAATTCCTCATGATTCATTTACCTAGAAATTCTAGTTTTTTATCGCGTAAAAATCTAAAAAAAAATAGCTGTTCATTTATAGAAATAGAAAACTTGTTTTCTAGTTACATTTAAACCAAATTTTGTCGCAATTAAACAAAATTTGATAATTATAAAAGTTTGGTAATCAAATTAAATTGAAAATGTTATGGGTAATTTCAAATTCTGATATTTAAAATTTTCTATAATTAAACAATATTCGTTGATAATTTAAAAATTACAATAGTCAAAAATATTTGAATTAAAAAAAATGTGTATTGAAGCAAAAAGAAGTCTTAATTATAAAATAGAAGTACTTTTTAAATTATCGAATTAAAAACAAAATGCGGTTTCTGAATTACAGAAATAAAAAAATTTTTTTCATTGCAATAATAAAAAAGTGACAGAAAAAGAAAAATACTTTTTTTCCAACTCATAAAGAATAGAAAGTAAAATAAAAAAAATTTCAAATGTTTTTTTCCCATCTGGTATCTTTCACACAATTTAACTTTTTTTCTCTCTCATGTTTACCGATTTTACTCGAGCGATTAGAATTTCATGAAAATAAAGTTTTTTTTCTGTATTTTTTATCTCCGAGTGTATAACGAAATCTTGTCATTTTTTTTGAGTCATTCTTGAGTTAATGCACATAACTGTTGATAAAGTAACGTTTCGCTATTGAGAGCATTGAAATAATGTTTAATTAAGATGCTCATTACTCACCACTAATTGTTGGCGAGCTAGGTAAACATTATGAATTGAACCAGTGATTGTAACGTTGCTTTTCTTCAGACTTGGAATATTCGGGTCGCCAGCATCAGGAAACATGATTTGTGTAGCGGTTCGCTGCATAATCATTTTCAAGTTGCTACTTTGCTTTCCTAGCACAATGCTGTGATGCTGCGGAGAGATCTCCATACACATTTGTACTTGAATTTGACTCTGTAATTAATAATTTCAATGTTAATGTCATCTTCAATTTAATATCAAAGCAAAAATAAATTAAATACTGAATTCAAAATTAAATAAAATTCAAACAAATTGAAATAGACTATTTATTCAATTAAAACGAATTATATATTAAATTGAAAAAAATACTAAACTAAATGGAAAAATGTAATAAATAATTTCTTTCGATCGTGACTTTAGTTACGTGTAAAATAATTTCGAAAATGTAATTAATTTTCCTGTAGTTAATTCGTTACGAATTTGTTTTGCCATTTGGAAAGATTTTATTATGGATTTGACTCACTAATATTTTGTATTTGTTAATTCATTGTAAATTCGTTTCTGCAATTAAAAAAATAATAATTAGACACCTAATGGTCATCTATAGAAGTATTCAAATTTCAAAAATTAATTTGAAACTTAAAGGAAGTAAAATTTGATTTAAGGGAGGAATTAACAAGGGAAGGGAAAAAAATGTTATAAAAATTCTCCTTTTTGAAATTCATTTAAAATCGAAAGAAAAGGATTATTTTATAATTTATGTAGAAGGAAGCGAGGGTGGAAGAAAAAAAGGGAAGACGATTATTTGTCGTGTTTGTAAATGAAAAAGGACATGAAAAGAAGAGGATGAAGTCATTACTTACAGCTAAGTTCTCGCACATGTAGTGAATCAGCAGAACGGTGGCCTCCTTCACTTGAGAAACCTCCCATTCACATCCCTTCACAACCACTAAAGTAGCATGTAACTTTGGTCGTGTGCGAAACATGACTTGAACATTGTACTGTTCCTGAATCTTCACCACATAAGGCGACGTGGAGTCTGGCACCGCTTGCGATGCGCCCATTATCGGCAATTCGAAGGAAAATATCAAGGGAGTTAAATTCTAAAATGAAAAATTATTTCCTTTAAAAAATATTCCTTAAAAATACGAAAAAATGTAGTCTCATCAGTATTCGATAAAATAAAAAATAAATATCAAAATAATTTAAATCTCTTCTATAAAAGAAACATCTATTCTAAACGAGTAAACAAAAAAAAAATCCATTCGAAACTGTAAAAGAAAGAAATAAATAAACGCAATAAAAATAACTGAATTATTGAAAAACGAGACTTTAATCTTGTTCACGTGAACTAGACAAGAGATCTAAGTAAACATTATAACAAAGTTGCAAAAGATAAAAAGTAATGCTCTCGTTTATTGCGTTCTCTTAATTTAATCAACATAAATTTATCATTTAATTTCCAATAATTTTCGATGAAATTGATAATAAAAAAATCATAAAATCGTGCAATTAAGAAAAATAATTACAAAGAAAAAAAAAGTTGAAGACTGACATGAGAAAAAGAGAAGACGATAACAAGTATCATCAACATCATCATTATAATATATTAAGGAATCGTTTAAAAATATTTACTGACATTGTTGTTGAAAGTGAAATGCAAAAACAAATTGTCCGTGTAATGGAAACATTTGGCACGTATTCAGAAAATAATTTAGTGCATTAAATTGAGAATCGTTGCCTATTTCACGAATGAGGAAAAAAGCAAAACATATTAACGCTTAGTTTAAAATAAAAATAAAGAAATAACTAGGTAACCGAAAATCGCCCCAGATGATGAAAAATTTATTTTTAAAAACATATTTTAAAATTAAAACTGTTTAATTTCTTTCTCAAATTCTTTTTGAATTATTTTCCAACAATTTATTAGAAGTATTTAATTTAATTAATAAATTCTCTCTTTAAATGAAAATAATAATTTAAATCAAAAAATTCTAGGTCGGATTTTTATTTAGAAGAACTAGCACTTTAGTAACGAATACGAGATAATTGATGGGGATAAAAAGAAGAAAAAAAAATGATTATAAATATAAAAATTCGTAGGAGAATAAATTTAAAATTTATTTTTACCCTAACTCGAGCTCGAGCCCGCTCGACGCCTTCCATTTCTCCCGCAATGGAGACTTGATTGCTCTTCTCCTGATGATTGCTACGGTTGCTGTCCGGAAAATGAATGTGACAACCTGTTTCCTCCATCACTCGCTTTATCGTTAATCCACCCTTTCCAATAATATGCGAATGATCCGTGTAACTCACATCCAGCTTCATTGTTACTCTATTGTTTTGCTAAAAATTCAGAAAAATCAACATTATTTTCAATTTAATCAACAAAATTTTTAATTCTTACAAAATATTTTATTAATGACTAATTTTAAATCTAATAATTTAATCTTCATCAACTTCTTGGAATTAATCTAATTGGAATTAATCTAATGAATAGAAGAGATGTTTTCAATCCAGAGAAAATTTTAATTATCCCACAAAATCCACTTTCTCAGCAAAGAAACAAATTGAAATTTTTTCCTAACAGCATTTTTAAGCAGTATTCTATTTTCACAATTCTTATCACTAAAGATTTATGACGAAATTAAAAAAAAGAGGTGAAGTAAACATAATGCTTCTGCATTACAAGTTTCATTTAAAGGATATTTAAAAAAAGTTACAGGTCTGGTTTTTTTTAGGTTTAGATGAAATTAAAATATTTGTAGATGATAATAATACAGAAGCAGAGTACTCTTTTAATGGGTCTTTGACTGACCAAGTGTCTTTTTCTCTTTCTCTGTCATAAAAAAAAGACACTCTTATCGTTAAGAACGAGTTTTACAGATCCAAGAGGTGCGTGTTTATCTTCTGCATTATGTATTATCATTGTGACACTACAAGCTATTTTTATCTCAAGCTGACATAATATTAAAAGAACTTAATCTCAATGAAAGTCTTCACTAAAATTTGGATTCAATTTTTTTTCCTTCATTAAACTGAATGTTCTTCATTAAAAAAGAAATGTAATAGAAAACTATTCCAAAAAAAAGTAAGTTCGCCCTCTCAAAGTTATTAATGTGAAATTTTTATTTTGTTTTCGAGATTAATATTGAATGTCTGAGTTTTTTCGATATCATTTTGGTACTGGACTCCAACAACTCAATGATAATTATATTTTACTCTCTGGATTGAGATTATTTTGTTGACAACTGTAAAAAGAAAAAAAAAGACTGTAATGATTGAAAGTTGAATATTTCTTTTTTTTTTGCAATTCACGAAATATCTTGAATTTTGTACTCCACCAATCTTTATGTAACAGTTTTCACGAGGCATCGTCTTAAAATTTAATTCAGTTGACCTTTGAAGTGAAATAAATTTAGTGTTTTAGAGGAAACTTAAATCGCAAACATTTCGATTCTAAAAATAGTAAGAATACATTTCAAATCATTTTAGCCAAGGTATTTTTTTGCTTCTTGATTCTCAAATCAATTTCTTTATCTACTTTCAACTAAAATTAAATTTTGTTGTCAAAATAAATTTCTAATAAAAAGAGAAAAGAAAACACTAACTGAAAAATCTGTTCTAAAAGTTAGTAAAATTAAAAAAAAATGTTTATAACAAAATTATCATTAAATATAAAAATGAATAAAAAGAAAATCAATTTACCCTCGTGTCCAAAATTTGCATGATTTTTTCTTTGGCAACTCGCACGTCGTCAAGTCGTCCAGCGACTTTTATATGGGGATCTGAAACATAAATTACAAGCCACAATTTAATTTAACAGAAAGCAAAGTAAATAAAAACCACAATCGCTTGATCCATTAATTCACTTTTTTCTGACCTGCCTACTTTCATTTTTACCGCGTCTTCACGCATGACAGACTTTTGCGTCCCAGTTTTTCGAACTGTAAATGCAAATGAATTTTCATCAGCCAAAACATTTCGTTTACTTTTTAGATTAAAACATGTTTCATACAAATTAATAATAGTATTTTTTTTCTTTACATTCGATTAAATGAAACGACTTTCCTCTGAGTTCATTTGAAATAAATTATTCTAGAAACTAAGCGGAACTATTTCAGTCCATACAATTCAATGCATATTTTTTTAATGTCCGAAAAGAATTTATTAATCTGATAAATTTCAATTTTTTTAATTAATTTAATTTATTCTTCAATTTCTATTTAAATCGAATATTTAATATAATTTTTATTTGATGAGAAATTGTCTAATTACTAAAAGGGCTCCACCAAATGGAAATAACTTCTTGGGGATAATTTTTAACATTTTTTATGGTTTTGTATTCATAGTTTCAAAAAGGAAAAAAAATATTACAGTTAAAAAAAGCTTTCCACGAAAAATTGAGAGGAAAAAACATTGCGTGACGAGACGAGCTCTTCGACCCATATCACATAATAGGTAATAACTGTACTGGGGAAAATAACAAGGTTTAAAGTTGCACGTTCTCCAATGCGATTAAACTAATTATTTCATTAGTAAAGACGATTACAGGTTGTGGATATCGTTAAACTGTAATTCTATTATTAGAATACTAAAGTGATAATCTTGTTATATCCATACTTTTTTCCTCTTCCCGTAAATCAACGAAAAATTGCATCTACTTATAAAACTATTTCATTCTTTCTCTTTTCACTTCCCATTCGCAAGTACTAAATAATTCCCCTTAAAAACAAGTTTTTATAAACATATACAATTTTTTCTCTTGATTCTTTTTTTCTGAATCGAAATAGTGTAAAAAAGAAACAACAAGATACGTAATCGTCTTCCTTCTTAGAGTCACGTACATACATTGTCATTGATATGATGACGTGTCAAATTTGCCATTTAATCATAAATAATTGACATTTATTTATAATAATTTACTTCCCAAATGAAAATAAAATTGATTTCGAAGATTCAAAAAAAAAAATAAATAAATAACAATATGTAAATATAATAGAATATTATTAAAATACAGAAAAATATCACAATTAATACAATGGAAAAATTGATAGCCATCTTTAAAAAATGAATATTGATTCTCACGTAAATTTTACAATATATGCGAAACTTTTAATTGACGAAAGTCATAAAATAACAATGAGAAAAGCAGTTTGTGGAAAAATCTTTTAATGGAAAATTGTGTCAAGTACGAGAAACACATTATATGAAAGAAAAAGTCTAACGCAGAGAGTTTTTAAACTTGTAAAATTACACAAGTAATCGATGTAATAGTGAAATTCCAACAGTGATTATTTATAAAAATAAATAATTTTAAAGTACATAGATATAAAATTAAATATTTCCAGTTGCTGAATATGGAAAGTTTCGGAAAGAAAATCACTCTAACCGGATATATTTACAATAATTAGAAAGACTAATTGAAAAAAAATGATTTTTTATTTTACTAATTAATAGATTAAAATCAATAATCCTAACTATAATTTTTATTTTTAGACAATTTTTGTTCTCAACACCAGATTTCAAAGTACAGAAAATCAGAATTGTAAAAATCAAAAGAGCTAAAATTGCAGATAAAGACTAATATAAATTTTAAATAATATTAAAATGTCCCCTTATTTAATAAACGATTTAATTTCATTTTTAATAATGAAAATTAATTTTTTCAGAAAATAATTTAATTTGAAACAATAATAAGATTTGTTGATTAATTTTGAATAGTAATTTGTCAGAGTATATTTAAAATAAATGCATTGAATAATCGGCAAACTGATAAAATGATAAATGTTCAAATGACAATTTGTTACACTCTATGACTAATCTTCTGAATGCTTCGTTCATGTATTATTCAATTTAATTTGCATATAACTGGCGTCGCATTCATCGTTTTCTTTAAAATAAACACCCCCTGCAATTTTTCAAATTAAATTTTTATACAATCCTCTTTTCATGATTCAATCGCAAACAAAATACGAGAAATGTAAATCTTTTTCTTTCCTTATGTAACCAAACGGAATTTGCCGTTTGAACGACAAAAAAATGGTTTAAATTACTATTAAACAAGAAGTTTAAAAATACATTTTAAATACAATTCTTGTTTTTAGCCGAAAATTAAAACCCTCAGCAAACATAATTGTTGAAAAAAATGTTACGAACAGTGGTAATTTTAATTAGTAACACGATTGAAAAGTGAATTGAGTATGAAATAAATTTTAAATTAACAAATTTACCAAAAAATCTTCTTTCCTCATATTTTTAATAAATTATAAACAAAAATTTCCACTACAGTTCTAAAAAAATGTTTGGAATCGAAACAAAAGAAATTCAAATCAGAAATATAGTCAGCCAGAAAAATATTGCAATTTATTATGCAAAAGAGAATATTGAAGATGTTTTGTATTTATGAGAAGCAAGAAAACAGTTTTTGAACTTTAACCACTGAACCGTCAGTTAATTATAAGAAACTTGAATGGAAGAGAAACTTAATGAAATGCAAAAAAAGAAAAAATAAAGAAGGTATTTTAAAATAACATTTACACATCATTTTTACCTCAATGAATAAAGTAAATCTATGTTTACTTAACAAAGATAAGTTTTTGATTTCTAAAAGAAAAAAAGAAGAAAGAGAAAAATACACATAATTATGTTTGAAAAGAAAATCTTTTTCTGAAAAATAAAAAATTAACAGTTATAAAACTGTTTACCGTAGAGAATTGGAACATTACTCTCATAGGAGACTAGAAGACGCTAATAAACCTTTCAGCCACGTGAGACTGTCGGAGAAGATTACAAACCAAGGCGATCTTTAATCCTATCTATTACGTGACAAACTAAATTTTGCAAACGTGAAATTTGACCAACAAATTTATTTCATTCTAATTGCGAATTATACAATCAAAATGACATTTTGACATTTCACTCAAAAAAAAAGAAGAAAAAAAACCAAGAAAAAATCTTTTTTAAAAACCATTTTTTTTGATAATCGAAAAACAATATTGTAAATATTTCAGAAAAAGATTTCATTCTTTTTCTTCTTATTTAATTTAGACTAGATTTTAATAGAACAAATTTAAAATAAAAATTCCTCAAAGGACATTAATCTGGAAGAGAAATAATTGTATTTTAATCGTAGGCGATAAAATTATTCTTTCAATATTTCACAAGTAAATGTTTTATAATTAATTAACCTTCGTTTATAAAAAACCGGTTTTTTTCAAACTATTTTTGATTTTTTAATTATATTTTTAAATATTTTTAAATTTCTGGTGCTATTTTTAAATTTCGAGATATTCATTTATATTTAAAATTGACCTACTTTCTAACTCTATTTATTTAAATATGTGATCTATTTTGCTAAATCTTTTTTGTTTTAGATTAGTTTCCAAATTTTTTAATTTTTACAAATATATTGTATTTTTCTCGTTTATTTTTTGAAAAAAGTTCCACAAAAAAATATTGAGAAATACATTGTTTATTAACTTGCTTTTTGTTTGTTCAATTTCTAAAAAAAAAAACAAAAAAATATATTTTCTGAAAGAAGAAAATAAAAAGAAAACAAAGATTATTTTTAGAAGCAAACTGAAATTACTATAAAACTGTTGCTAAAACGGTTTAATAATCGTTAAAAGAAAAACAATTATACTCTCAATAATGAACAGTGATTGTAAGATGTCGTAAAAATTGCATAAGAATATAATTCTAAAGTGATTACGTTCAACGTTTAATTAATTTCCCCAAGCATTTGTTCTATTCTCTTTTTTAATATTATTTTAATTATTAATTTGTATAATTATTTATTATTACAATAAATTGAATATTTTTAACGTATTATTTATACTGAAAATTTAAATTCTTTTATAAATAATAAAAAAACCATCAATGAACATATTGATCGTGTACGATTAAAATACCAACAAAAATACATTCTCATATAATGACAATGTCAAAAAATATTGTGAATGAAGATAAATATTGACTTGAAAATAACAAAGTGTATTAAAGTGGAAAAATGTTTCCTAAATTTTTTCGGTGAATTGTAAATATTGTTAAAATTGCCTTCTAATGATAATGGAAAATTTTTTCCTTTAAATTACTAAGAATAGTGGAAAAATTTACCGCAAACAATAAAGGGTTGGAAATGTCAAGTGTGTGACATCGTTTTAATATTCCTCGAAGAAAAACCTTCTGTTAAATGTAATGAAGTGACGATAACTTTTTTTTAATGGTTGATAAAAGAATTGAATCACCAAAAAAGTTTCCATAACAGTTTCGAGAATAAGGAAGCAATGCCAATCAAATAATATTGAATTCATTGTCAAAGAAACTTCATCTCTCTCCTTTTTTTTCTCTCTCTCATAAGTGAACAATCCGAGTCTATCTCTTCATATTGACATTAATAACAATGTTAATCTCCCTCTTGAATCGTTTACAAAACTCGGATTAAATCTGCAAGACATATTTGTAATTATAACAATTTGTAAATATGCATTCTGTGAAATCAAAGATTAATTATTATTCAACCATTATTTTTTTCAATAAAATTTTCAAAAAATTTCACACGATCAATGAAAGTTAGATGTAAAAGAAAATTTCTTCTTAAATCAACGATCTCAAATGAAATCTTAATATTAGATTTTTTTTGAATTGTTTCTTTTTTTTAAAAAGAAAAAAAACAAATAAAATTTTTTTTTAAATGCTAGATGTGAGAGTGCTATTTATGGAACTGAAAAAAAATAACAGGAAGTTTTCTGAAATTAGTTGAAGGTTGTGGAGTTGGTAAAAACTTCAGTCACCTGGAAATGACTTTACTGCTATCTGATCATTATCTGATATTATCTATTTCAAGGATGGAAATATTTGTTTTTAACTTTTCTAATTGTATAAAATTAGGAAATTCCTAGGGAAAAATATTAGTTTTTAATTATAATTTTCTAGAATGAAAGTCATTATTAGAAGGGAAAATTTATCTTGTCACTAAACATCGAAATTAATTTCCTTTGATTTTATTATTAAAATTTTTATTGCATTCAAAGTGATTATTTGATTAACTAATGAATTATTTAATTAACTATTTATTTTATTAATTTTATTAATTTAATTATTTAATAATACGCAGTTTATTAATTTTTTAAATTAATCGAATTGATTAAAAAAATATTATAATCTACATATAATTAATAATTAATTAAAAATTAATAAGGATAAAAATTAATTCTATTAATTAAGAAAATCAAAACTTTTTTCCTTAATATAAATACTGGAAAGTAGAGTAATAATAAAAATATTAAATATAAAATTGATGACAGAAATATTATTAGTGAGTAAACTTGTCGAACACGTAAGACATTTCAAAATGAATAAAAACTGCATGTGTATTGTGTTCGTTATCTGCGCGAGCTTTTTTCTTTCTTTCTTTTTTTTTTTTTTTGCTTAATTTATGCGACCCACGACCCACAAACGTGCAGAAGCAGAAACTTGTCTTCCAAGACTCGATAAATCACAAAATCAAATTTAAAATTTGTATTGAACAAAAAAATGTATCATATCTAAAAAAAAACTAAATTTAATTCGAAGAAATTAAATCTCATTACATGTTTTAATTATAAATGTAATAGAAAATAGATTGTATGTGAAAAATGTAACTAAATGTAGAAAAATGAAAGTAGAAAAAAATTGAAAATGTTTAAATTTAATGTAAAATAGATAATATTTTGAATATGTATTAAAACTTTCGATATTTTTTCTGGATCATTTCCTTTTAAGAAATTATTTCATTAGGGTTAATGATGTAAACTAATGTTTATATTAGATTTAAATTAATACGTATGTATATAATGTATATAATTATGTATATATGCACACAGGATTATATTAACTATTTAATAACAAAAAAAGTTTTCCAGGGTCTTTCAACCATAATCGTCTAGCCTATTTCATTTTAAAACCACAAGGTTTAAGAATGAAGTTCATGTCCTACATTTTGAAAGAGTGTATATGTAGTAAAAAGTCCTCGTCTATCAAACTACTATATGACACTAAGGAAATGGAATTTTTAATTTAATTTTGAATTTCTACATTTCAGGGTCAACTTTTTATACTCTCCAAGCTAATAAATAGTTTATCTTTAAAAAAAAAAAACACAGAACGAAAAAAGCCCCAGTAACCTAGGAAGGTTTCTTAATTTAATTAAATTTTTATCTCTCGTTAAAAAGTTGGACAAGTATCAAATTAAGTTCCCAGTAATTAGACTAACGTACTGTTGAACTCAAGGTTGATTTGTTAATTTAGCATAATTATGTTTTTATCACGTTTGAGATTCAATAATCATTAAACTCAGTTCTTCATTAAATTATATATATATTATTTTTCAACTAATTGTCTAATTCTCCAATTTGAACAATATACAAATTCAACTTTTTTTTTAAACAAAATTACAATAGAATTAATTTTTAGGTAACAAATTTAAATAAATTGTACCTATCAGATTTAAAAATTTCAATGAATTAATATTATGCAAAAATATCAATAAATATAGAAGAAATTTCAATTTTGGAAATTGAAAATTAAAAAATTGATTTGTTTGAAAAAATACTTCACATTATGTATGCAATTAATTTCTCATTTTGGATGAATAAAATTTCTAATCATAGAAAAAGGAAATTCTAGATCATTACTATCATGCGAGTCATTAAAAGTACATTAAGGATAAAAATAATGAATCTTTCACCTTTTTTCGATTTTGCTCCAATCTTGAGTCGAGAAGGCCATGTGACGAAGGTATTCGTTTCTTCCATAACCTGCAACAATAATTTTAAAAAACATTGCATTAATGTTTTAAGACAATGATAAGAATTGTATCGTTATCAATTTTACAATCAACTAAATATAATTTTCTTTTATGCATTCGTCAGCATTGACGTGTTAAAGAAGCATGCTTTAAACACTTATACCTCACGTGAATTCATTCTGAACGCAAATCAACAATTAGTGAAAAGAACTTCTCCTTATCTTTCATTTATTTTCATTTCATTAATCACACACAAGATCAAATCAATATTGAAAATTGCCGTATAAAAATAAACATCTCATGGAGAATAAAAAAAAAATGATTCATTTTTTCCAGATTCAATTTACAGGAAAATTCATTTTAAACTATTTAGGAAAAAAATATTTTATTAAAAAAAAAGATTCATTTAAATACCTATCCTTAAAAAATTCCAATTTATATTGAAAAGCAATGGTAAAAATTTTTTGAATTTAATAAAATGAAAAATATAAATAATATTGTTCAGTTCGATTTTGAAAATATGAAAAGAACCTGTTTTAGTGAAAAAGAAGAAATGTATATATATTTTTTTATTGCATTATAAATCATCTGCGTTCATTTGTTTTCAGTTTAAAATTCATAAAATGAAATAAATGTAAATGAGATTCTGATTGTATAAGCGCAAGAAATTAAGCTCCCTGTTAGCTTTTTTTAAATCATGAAACACGCTATAACGATATTTGCATTTGGTTCAATGTGAGTTTAATGCTTGTCCTCAATGAGTGGGTGTAAGGAAAACGGATGATATTTAACACGTGCTCGACTTTACTATTTGCATCTGCCAAACAAACATCATAACCACTTTTTTCCTTTTTTTTGTTAAAAGAAATAAAGAACTAAACAATTTAAGATTTTTTTCAAATGAGTTACAAATCTAGCAAAAATCTAGAAACCGTATTCTTTTTCAATTTTTTTTACGAAAATTTTTTAGAAGACGATTTGTATATAAGAGAGAAAATAATTATTTTAAAACAAAAAAGCTCATTACCACAGTCATTTCTGAAAGATCGAATCTGGATCGCTAGACTCGAAACAACTTTCTCAATTCAACGAGATCACAGTAATCCAAGAGCTTTTTTTTATTTTTAGTCTCTAGGCTCCTAAGCACAGAAGAAGAACGACATTGCGACCTCGATGCCCTGCAACTTTCACGATAAACGAATGCACAAGTTGAAAAGTTAGGTATCTAAAACCGACACAAACCCCTCGTGCGTATTCGCAATAAATTTTACTTTCACTACCGTAATAGTGACTCCACGGTCGTCATAGCCGATAATAATACCATGAATGCTCATTAGTCCGTGTCCATCAGATAAACTTTTAAAAAAGCCCTTTCAAACAAATCACAATAATTGTACACTATTTTTCATTTTTTCTTTCACAATTTCTCTCTCAAAATTAAATTTTTTTTAAAATAGAAAACAAATTTTTCTCGTTTTCAAAAATGAAATATCTTTTTTTTTTTGAACGAGAGTTCAATGACTGGATAAGGATGAATAAATATTCGAACGAGAGTAGAAATAGAAGAAGAAGAAGATGATGATGATGATGATGAAGACAAATTTTGTGCCAGTAACTTCCATATACCGCCGCGGAATCGCTGGCTCGACTGACTGACTAATTCGAGATAACATAACGGGTTGGTCTCGGTTACGACCTCCCACTCGTTTTCTCTCCTCCTCAACGTTCCCTACTACTGTCGCGTCCGAACATCGGCCAATACCCCACAGAGAGTTGATACCAATTTTTCTTCATTAATTAATTTGAATAAACGACTATTAAAATACATAGTGTTGTTTTGGATTGAGAAATTGGAATGATTAGACGATGAAAAGACGATTAAAGTTGAAGGAAATTAATATTTTTTCCGTTCCCCCTCGTGAAGGAAATCCTCAACAAAAGACTCTTTTTTTGTCAGTGCATCCAAAATTCCCGAATGAAAATACACACTTCTGAGTCAACAAAATTCCAGCGATTCCTGACACAGGCCATTTTGTGCCGAAGAAACATACTACCAGCGTCGATAACAATAGTTTTAGAAAACTACCTAGAAAAAAAGTTTTTTAAAATTAGAAATGAAAATTTTCAATCAAGAAATACTGAAAACAAAAATATACATTTAGAAATGAAGAATTAAAATTCGCTTTCAATTTCAAGAGAATGAAATAAACCTACTTTTCTTCTATTCATTAGAATTAGGTAACGAAAATTCAATATTTGATTAGAAAAACAAAACCAAATATTAATTATTAATTATTGCCATCTAGATATTTTTTTCTAATTGGAATATTTTTGTGACTAATGTACATTCTGAATCCTTAACTTCTATGAAACACTATCGACGTAAAGTTCAAATTTCCACAAAAAAAAGCATTACCCTAATTGTGAATCAATTGAGGCGACGGAAAATATTCGAAATAACGACTGTATAGTCACCGGAATTCCAAATGACCAAGAAAAACGTTCGGGCAAGTACTCGGGCACTGACTTAATACTAAAATTACCGACACAAGTGCAAGCCGTGTTTTATTTCGAGACGTCGAGTACAAAAGCGAAATAGAATGTACAACAAAAGTGACTAAATAGTGGCTCACTGAAAAAGTCATCCAAGCACACATTTTGTACAAAGAAGACCAAAAAAGAAAGACACATAAGTAAACAAAAAAAATACACACCAGAAAAAATGGAACAATCGACAAATTGCTGAATTAAAATTTTTTCTAAATTCAAAAATGAAATTTCAAAATTTGTTTTTGAAGGGGAAAAAATATTTTTTTGTAAAATATTCTTTTCTTAACAATTCAGTAACCAAAGATACCTTACAGTCAGAAATCAATAGATTACAGTATAAAGCTTTATGGATTTACAGCTTAAAGTTCTATATTTATGAAGGCTATTTATAAACTCTATTTTTAATCCTTAGAGAATGTCACCTAAAGATACCATTTTTGTGCTCTTATTTCACTACATAAATACATATAAACTAAAAGTGCTATTACGTCATAACTTTATTCGATTTTCACATATTTAATTTAAATTTATCACTGATTCTTTAATCAATTTTCCCCTGAAAATACATCTCGACCTCTCGCTGATTATTTCATTAAAAGCGCAAATTCCAAATTTACCTGACCTATTACCTTTCTCTTCTAAAATCGAACAATTAATAATAAAAAACAAAACTGACAATATTAATATTTCTCACTTGAAAAATTTCGCATATTGTGAATAAAATTTTCGCCAATTTAAAATATTGCATTTCTGTAATAAATATTTATTTAAACATTCAAAGTTTAATAAATGAATGAAAAAATAAGAAAACGACGATGCATGTTAAGTTATTGTGTAAATGTAATTTTCATCTTCTAGAATGTTGAATAAATTTTGCAATAACAATGTACGTCAGAAGATCTCGAAACTACGTCAAATTGAGATAGATTAAAGAAATTATTGCCACCCTATGTTTAAAATGACATCGACTTAGATTCCGTTATCCGCGACCGAGAAGCGGCAAGAAGTAGATATCCAATGCTAAAATTATGTCAAATGCATGCAAACGTTAACTCGACCGTGCATTGTATTTATAGATCCGGTGCTCGAGAGAGATACCAGTGTTGCATTCAAGAAAGCAAAGGGAAGAAGCAAAGGTACCACAATCTATGATTCCTAATCTCTATAACAAGAAAAAAATTTATCATTACTGCACTGTTAAAAATCATTCTCAAATATTGTAAACATTTCGAAAAATCCACACACACACACACACACACACAACGAAATTTTACTCTTTCTTCATTATTCGCCACTATTTCTCAATATTAAATTTAGAAATTTAAAAAACGTAAGAATTTCTTTTCCTTATTTAAAATCAAGTAAGGGGAGATTTTTCCAAAGAGGAATTTTGTGCTCAAAAAAATTTCCAAGATTAAATGATAAAATTCTACGATTAAAAATACATTTTGACAAATTAAAAACAGATTAAATTTTGAGAGACAAAATTTGTATATTTTAAGACACGTTTACTTTCATCAGGAAAACATTTTTTTTTCTCAAATCATTATCTTCCTTATTGCAATCTCTGTTATAAAACGAAAACGTGATTTTATGCATGAAACAACATAATTTTCCGTTATTGGATTTTTATAAATTTTAGCATTAATTTTTTTTATCAAGTATTGTGTCGACGAGATTTCTCGTTGGATTAAAATGATAAGGAGATACTAAATAGAAGCATAGAACACATACATATTTATTGGAATATAGAAATAAATGTATATCTATGTATAAATTTCGAAAGAAGGTTAAGTAACTAAACAGCTTTATTGATACGCAACATTGTAGATCGTGAGGTTTATGTATGTGTACTCCAATTAAAGTAAAGGAGAGTTAGAAAACTGGTTTACGCGACAGCAGGTGTTGAGCGAGAGAGTCAACTATTTAACTTGTATATATCGTGAAATGATAGTTTTATGAATTTTTCTATTCTGAAAATTCTCAGTTTAGAACAAGAAAGTAACAAATCTTTTATTATACTAGGAAAAGTCAACAAAATTCAACCTCATTTATTTCTCACCAAGTTTTGAGAGAGTATTGAGAGAATAAACGGCATTTTACAAAATTATATCATTTCCTTAAAGTTTATATAATTCCCGACTGTCAATGTTGATTAGAATCTATCAGAAAAATTATGTTAGATCACTGTTTGAGAAAATCCTTTTTTTCCCATTATTTTAAAGCCGTTAGGCTATTAATAATAAGTTATTACACTATTAATTATTCAATTCTAGAATAAGAAAGGAAATTAAAAAATTTCATTTCTTTTGAAATTGTTTGCTAATTAATATAGCCTTTAAAACAAATCAAATTTAATTGAAAGGGGGACTGAAAAAAACCAAAAAATCAATAACTCCAAAATTTTATAATCGAAAGAACGAAATTTTCAAAAAATCCAATTAATAACTATTTATATTATGATGGATAGGAATTATTAGATAATTCAATCACCACTGACATAAACTACCATTAATTGAAATTACCAAAAAGAGTGAAAACTACCAGATAAAATCCAATTATCAACGATTTAAATTGTGGAAAAAATAAAAACTACTAAAAACTGTACAAAGACAAAAAGGAAAACTGTCACTAACAATTTTACTGAGACAATAGTTTCGGAGACGGAAATTTCTTTAAAAAACAAAAAATTTAAATTGGCACGATCATAAATTCAGAGTATTTAAATTGAAATATTTTCATTATTTCAAAACGTCTGAATAAAATCTCGTCTGGAAAATTTAAATTTTCCTTTTAAGTTTAGAGGAAGATTGCTCCTAAATAATGTGCATTTGACACAATGTTAAGCATTTCGGAAATGTATATTATAGCTTCCGCGAAACGCATTAAGTTTAATAGCCAAAGTCTTTTCTTTTTCATATTGTAATGCTGATAAACTTCACGCACCATTTTCATGCAAGGAAGACACACTTCTCTGCTTTTTACTCTCTCTCTCTCTCTAACTTTATGACTTCCCGGACTCGTCATGAAAAAACAATTTTTGGCGAATCCTATATACACACACGGACATCATTGTAACAACTCAGATTGATCCTCGCAGATGTCTCGAGTGCAAAAATAGAGTTGAATATTCTCTTCATGATTTATGCAATGTCCCGTGAAACTGAATATTGAGAATTTTAAGAAAAATTTTCAAAAATAATCTATGCCATGCAAAACTGAATAGTTTCCTGACTGTCAACAAGAAATTTTCGTAGTGTCGCCAAAATTAAATTTTTTTTTATGAAAACTGCAAAAATAAAGAAAGTCAAAAATTTCTATTGATAAATAAATAGTTAAACGAAAGTAATAAATAAATAGACTGAAATATATATCAAAAACTAAAAAAATAAACTATAAATAAGACTAAAATAAATTTTTCCCTGCATCATTTGTCATTTGAAAATTCCGCTAAATAATACATCGCAAATTAAATTTAATTCCTGGTTTTACATTTCCCAAAAAAATTGGAAGAAACATTTAACAAAAAGTTTGAAAAAAAGTCAAGAATTGTAAGAATTCTTTTTATTACACAAATTATATGCCAATGAACGAATCTAAGGATCTGCCGATAAAAAATATGTTTATAAAGAGGGTATGTTTGTGAGTAGGTAAATTGTGACAAAGGATCGAGAGTTTATAACCACGGGACTTAAGTGATCCTATAAATAATCGAGCAGTGTATTTCCAGGCCTCTTTACGCAATGGTCGAACGATAAGGATAAGCGCCGATCGTTGCCTTGGTGTCAGTAAACGCCTTTACATTAACATATACATCTAAACGAAACTTTTTTTTCTCATTTGTTTGCGTAAAGAAAGAAAAGAAGAGAAAAGAAGAAATCTAAAAATCCAATGAATCTAAATAAAATAGGTGTATTATTCTATAAAACAAAACTAAGTCATTGAACTGAAAACCTTGACCTCGACAACAAATTTAATAAACAATAATAAAATTTCCCCAGACAAGATGACGCCTTTTTTGGGGAAAAACAAATAATACTACGAAAGAAGAAAATTTAATCATTTAATCAACTGAAAAATCTATAAATGATGATCTAATCATACCGGGAATATTGTTGCACATGGTAACAATAAAAGTTCAGGCATTGGCATATGAATTATGGAGCAAGAAATAATATTTGCAAGACTGCAAATTTTCAGTTTGGAATGCAAAAATAAAATCATTGTTTGAATTTTCTGTCAAGCTCATCTATTTAAAAATAATATTGAATGAAAAAGGAACTTTACTTTATCACTTTTAAATATAACAAAAAAAAAATTTTTTTTTAAATTAAAAAAATTGAAAAAAATTAATTTAAAATTACATTTGTAAAAATAGAAATTTTTTCGATATTACAAAGGAATTTATTTTGAAGCATTACAACAGACACATGTCATATTCTTTCAGCGAAAAAAATTGCAACGATTATTATGATAATTCTAATTATAAATAAAATTAGATAATCATTTATATCCTTCAAGACAATGCTTGACTATTGAAAATAAATATTCTAACCACATCCAAACGCATTTGCATTTTCCTCTTCTTTGTTTATTTCGTGAAATAATAAAAAATTTTATTTATTCGAAACGCAGCAAATTTTTTTCACTTCAGTGCAATAATACTAAATTTAATTTCTTGAACTGTTTACAAAAATCAAACAAAGTAAATTGAATAATAAACCAAAAAACAAGTAGTAAAAAATAAATAATAAAAATAGCACGAAATAACATTTTTGAGAATTGTAACTTTTGAATTTTCATGGTCAGAAAACGTAAAGTTGAAAAATCGAATTTGAAAACAATTGTAAAAATTGTAAAACAATCCCTCCATGAGGAAGCAAAGTTAAAATATTTAATTGCGTTTAATACATTTATTTATGAATTTTAGCGGCTTAGTTGCATAATTCGTTATTGGTTGACGTTAAGGAGAAAAAAATGAATTTGAATACATAATTTATTAAACTTATCAGTGATATAAATTATCTATCACTATGTATTCCTCTCTCCGAAAAATGAAGTTAGATTAGTGACCTGGTTATTAATTATCAAGTGGAAGAGAAAGTATCTCGACACCAGTATCTACAACTTTACAAAGATAGGCACGCTTACGTGATATTTTTTAATAGAAACGAGGGAAAGGTTAAGAGAAACATCAGCTACCAAGTCATTCAGCTTAAACGACTATCAAGACCTCCAAATTTCAATTTCAATCGTTAGATTACAAAAATATTGAGTTTAATGTATTTCTTCTTTTCTTTCAAAATTTTTCATTCTTTTCTCGTATTTATCCTAATCTTCTAATTAATCCCAATCTTCCTAATTATTATTATTATTAATTTTTTAAAGATTTTTCGAGTTTATTTTTTCTATATTCATTTCAATTTCAATAGTTAATTTTCAAGAATTTAGAAGACAAAGTGTTAATGTCAAACGATTTTTTTTTCTAATAAAATTTAACTAATAAATATCTCGTGTTATCAAAGTAAAATGTAAGATAATTTCTTTTGTTGAAAATATAGATGCCAATTGTAAAACTGTTATTGGCATAGGTGTTGATGTCACGTGACAGTTCAATGCCCCTAATGCCTCCCACTTAAACTTCTTCCGGTTGTCTGTATCTTTAAGTTTGAAACTGAGGTTTTGTTTTGTTCGTTCATTGTACCCATTATCTTAAAGACCAGCCAACAAAAGTCGCCTACAGAAAGATCAACTACTTCTGATGCAAACAATTTCAAAATCTTTCACATCTTAATTAAATTTCATTTTAACGGATTCAAAAAAAAATAAATAAAATTAAAAAGAAAGGAAAATTAAAACTCACCTTCTGGAAGAATACTTCAGCAGCTTCTGGCGCATCACTGTCACCTAAAAATTAGAATAATAAATTTTTTTTTTGTTTCTTTGCTTCATATTTGTTTTTACAATAAGAAAATTTTTTTATTCATAATGGCAATTTAAAAATGCGATTTTAGAATTCTAAAAAATGTTGCAAATTAATTTTTAAAAGAAAAGATCTAATTATTTTAATTAAATAAAGGTTCGCCTTTTTAAATAAATGTCGAATTAAAATTTGTACTGACAAAAAAAATTCATAATCTATTTTGATAGAAATTTTTCTAATTTGAATTGCATTGTTCAATAAGTATTATTATTGGAGTGAACAATTATTTAGGGTGGAACGATTTGACCGAAAAAATTACAATTGTAAAAAGTGTTTTACATTACTTTGCACGCAAAGAAACATGAGAAAGTGAATTCATTTTCCAATTTTCATCACGAATTCTTGTCATGCATGCTTACGTGTTAATAATGACATGTATTCAAGAAAGTTGTAATTATTATTTTGACATCATAATATTGGAGTGTCAGAGCATTAGACATCAATCGGTAGATTAATAATTTGATTACATATATATATATAAGAATTGACTATACGACCAATAACGTTTACAAACACACACTGTTTCTATTTAAAATCAATCAAAACAACAAGTAAATAAGATTGTAAACTTAGTTCATTTAATATATTTCATAAATTTAATTTTAGTACTCGAAATAAAATATTTTGCTTCCGAATTAAATCACTGCAAGATTTTAATTATAAAAATGATAATTATTCAATTTTGTATCCTTCTCCTCTTTTTTAAGAAAATATAATAAATATAAAATTCTTGTTTCATTAAAATTATTTACCATTTTTTTTATTATACAAATTTTAATTTAATTTTTAAATAATTCTGTGTATTTTAAAAATTTTTGTAATAAAAATTTCTTAATTAGGTATAGAACAATAATTATTGTTCTATTAAGAAATTGTTTTCAATTATTAGAAAAAATTCCTCATAATTTAAAAATTTTTATTGACTATTAATTAATTTTTTTGTCCAATTACAATGTGAAATTATGATCTCCGTTATTTCGATTAATAATGATGTAATGTTAGATCAACTGTAATAAAATGAACTATCACAGAATTACCCCCCTCCCCCGATATTATGAAAATTTCACCTCAATTAATAAATATGTTTCGATTCAATATTATACAATTTTCTTTTTTTTTTTTTGTATCAATTGTTATACAATTTTTACTAGTTCCAATTATTTTTCTTTTTCTTGTCAATTATTCAACGTTGAGTGAAGCTCGCTTCTGAAAATGGAATATTCTATATGTATACAATATTTTTTTTCACATTTTCCACAATTTCACTGATTTTTAAACTCGTAATCGTTGAAGCGAATTAATACCTTTACAACATATCATTTCCCGTGCTAACCGCACAAAGTACCCTACAAGTTGTAAGAAGATAAACTTCCGCGATTATTTCACCAACTAAGTGGCTTTTATGTCACATAATTAAATTTTCAATTATAAACATTATTAAATCTATTTAATAAAAAAATTAGACAAAGAAAACTTTTATTTAAAAATTTCTTTTTTAAAAGAAAAATTATTTGCAAAATTTTCTGGTTGGTAAAAGAATTTATGTTTTTATATAATTATCTAGTGCAATTAATAAAATAATTTTTAAATACATGTAAGACAATTTTATTTTAACTACCAATTAATTCAGTTTGATTTAATTATTTATTGTGATAATATATCAAATTGATTATTAAAAAAAATTCTTTCGTTTGTTTTGTTTAAAAATCTCCTTTCTCTGTAGTTTTTTTATTATTATTATCTTATAAAAAATCATTACGTGAAATATGTAACTAGATATCAATATATGCAAATTAAAACTAAGTGTGAATAAATGACTGAGGAAGGTGATCGATCTCAGGACTACTTTCTATTTTGTAGCAGAGAGATACTGATTCATAAAATATGGAACAATCCATTTATTACGCCACAAAAGTGCAAATAAATTAAATTTTTATTATAGTTTGTAATTACCTTGCAATCCATTCAAAAATATATTTATAAAATATAGTTTTATTCGAAGAATTTAAATGTTGCAAGAGTTTTCATTAATTTAATTGCATTTCTTCGAAAAAAAATCTATCATTTTATTTACGCAATGGAACTTGTAAACTTTTCAATTTGACAAAATAATTTATTTTTCGCAACACTTGTTTTCGTTTATTATTAATTAATATGTCAATTCTCTGGTTGCGTTGTGAAAAATTGTGAATTTTGTCAAATTAAATTGTATTATTATTTCGTTGGTCGACAATTTTATAGTTCAAGTCAGTCAATTTTATTTTTTATTCAACTGATTAAATTTCCTATTTATTTATTTATTTATCAATTCAACATTTCTTGATAGGTCGGAAAAAAATTTGGAATATGAATTCATTATAAAAAAAGAATACATACCGAGAAGCATGTGTTCCAATTTTCTGCGATCAACGCGGAATCGATCTTGATGAACATCCTCGGGATTAGCGATGCCCAAAAGGGTTGCAAAATTTTGCATCTCTGTCTCGAAATTCGATTTTCCAGAGGCACTTGTCGTTGCCGTTCCCTCCGATGTTTCAGACATTGTCTCCGCCATTCTTCGATCGGTTGAAAGCAAATCGTCTGGCCTCATCTTATTTAGCCAGGCGTTTCACACCGAAATTTCCTGTGAAATTATTCACAAATTAGTAAGAAATATAAAAAATTATTAAATTATAAATAAAAAAAAATTTATATTAAAATAAATATTCGAAAATTAGTAGGTGTATTCATACATTAAAATAAATTTTAAGAAGTTTCTTGATATTTAATTCCAACAAAAATATAATTAAAATCAATAAATAATAAAATTAGTTAATACAGAATAACAAAATTTTAATAAAGTTATTTAAATTAAAAAAAACTTTCTAGACTTTTCGCTTAATGGTGTGGGACTTTTTCTCTTGTTCATTGGAATAAAAAATAAAACTGTGTATCGATGTAAATATGAAAATAAATTTCCCCGGCACTGAAGTTTAAATTAAAAACAACCCTGACCGTGATCAAAAATTTATATATATTTGACAATAAAATATCTGCAGCGGTTAATAAACGGATAGAAAGATAAAAACATAACAAGCTCCGTTCTTTTGCGATACTGGATTTAGCACGAATAATATTTTTTCGAGATAAATTCTTGCGCAAACACGACGAAATTTACTGTGTTTTATATTAATAAAAAAAAATGAAATAATTCATAAACTTAAAGAAAAGAAAGGATGGATTAAAAATCGAATCGTAATCAATAATGAAGAGTACCTTCTTTTTTGAACTTGTATCACAATATTTCCGTAGCACTGTTGTTTATAAATGACAACGTCCTCTAATGAAAAATACTTTTATAATATTTCAATTCTGAAGTCAAAAATCTTTAAGAAGTTTCAAAGCGGTCATTCACCCGAAGAAAAATAATATTTTTGCTAAAAGGGCAAACTTTTAGATATTGTAATGACATTCTCTCTCTCAAATCTTAATTTCAAATTTTAAACCCAACAAAACTATCGTTTTTATTCACAAAATCAATGAATTTACTAAAATAATTATTTTAGTTAGTATTTAAAATAAATATGAATAAAAATTTTTATTTAAAATTAATACAAATTTCACAACGGAATTTTTGGTTACATAAAACCGTTTCTATTTTTCTATACGAAACAAAATATAATTATACTGTATTGAAAGGAAAATTGAAGAATATATTAAAATAGAAAAAGAAAATTGCTTATCCGGTATTTTCTTTTTTTTTCTCATATTCATAAATTAAAATTAAATAAATACCTGAAAATTTTTATTTCTCCTAATCTTTCTTAATATGTGAAGAAGAGGAGAACAACACCGCGGTAAAAATTTTTCACTCCGACAACGTCCAAATCAAGAGAAGCACTGACGAGACCAATTTCTTAGAATTTGCGGGAGTTTTCGTGGTAATCGAGGAAAATCCTCAACCAATTAAAATACGTCCCACTGCCGATGAGAAACGATTAAAACTGAGATTTCTCCTCACACCAACTGTAGTTCCAAACTTGACATTCGTCGATGAAGAAAAAAGTGTTTTTAGTTTTTCTACACACTGAAGTCCATTTGAACACGTGTTTGCTCCTCAATGTAAATGATGGTGTCGATGGCCCTTTAGAAAAACAATGCAACGATTTAGTAGGAAGCTTGTCACCTTGAAGTCACAACTCATTAAATTATATATAGACAAACAAAATACGTTTCTTTTCTGTCAATATCAATTGAAAATTATGACAGTTATATCAAGAATATTCAAAATTAAACGACTTTCAAAACCATGTTTACTTTCATTTTCTGTTTTCATTCAAATCCTTTTAAACAAAAATCTTAATTTCTTCACGATAATGACTTTTTTCTACTGCCCAAAAAACTTCTCTATTAAAAAAAACGAATAAAGAAATTTTTTTTTGTAACTTGAGATGAATACAAGAACCTTGTATTTTTTTTCTACTGAATTAAAAGAAAGGTAAAAATCTACTGAAATTAATTTACTTTTTTTTATTCGAATTAGATGAATTTTTATTTAAAGGAATTTATGATATTTCTTAAGTAATTTAGTTTGATAATAATTCGTTTTTAATTGAAAATTCTTTTTTGAAAAAAAGAAATGTTTAAAACTAGATGAAGAGAAAACAAATGCACGATTATGATTGTATAAATTTCAAAAAGCAATAAAACAATTTTCATTTCAAGTTATTCTTGTTTTCATGTCCAAGTGTATGCAGTGTGTATAGGATAGAAAAAAAAAAATATTCTTACGCAGAGTTCATGCAACAAGTTGGAAATTTTGCATATCAGTGCACTGGTCACTTTCTACAGGAACTTTGCGTACTTTTCATTGACACTAAGAGAAAATAAAAAATAGAATTCTGAAATTATCCATTATTGTCATTTTCACGCAACTGCCTTTTGCAAAAAGTGAAATTTCACAAAATTTTAACTACTAATTATATTACAAAACAAATTATTATTACTTTTTCAAAAAGCAACAAATTATTTATTAAAAAAAAAATTTTTTGTAATTGAAAAAATTTAATTTAACTTTCAAACAATTATAAAAATTAAAAAACATTTAATTTTTCCAAGTTTTACCATTTTTTTCTTTTATTTCGAGATTTTAATTTTAAAAACTGTAATTGAAAACAATTTCAAAATAGTAATGCTCTCATAAGTATATAATTAAAAGATTTAAAGTAAGAAAAAAGAAGAAAAGTAAATTAAAAATAGAATTCACGATAAACAATTAAAGAATAAATAAATTTTTCTAATTAAACAGAAAAGTAAAGTGTTCCAAGAAATGAAAGTGACAATTATTACAGGAAATTTTTGAAATTTTCCCTCTTATCTAACTGGAACTATTAAATTACTCATTTAAAAATAATTAAAAACAGATAATCATAAAAATTAAAATTTAGTAACTTATCTTTGAAATGAATTATTTACCTATATATTCATGTTAATTAATTAGTTACTAATATTTCCCTAATTAATTGGTTATCAATCCTAATTAAATAGTTTAAAATGTTCCCCTAAATAATTAGTTACAAATATTTTCCTACTTAGTTATTCACAATTATTTTCGAAATTTTTTTTAAAAAAACATGAAAGTATATTGTTTGTCTATGTTTCTAATAAGTTAATAAAAAGTTCAATGCAAATAATAATAAAAATAATTTATTAAAATCACAAAATTAAAAAAATAGTGAAAAATTGGGTTACTTACAGTAAATAATAAATAAAAATTTGTTGAAACTGAAAAAAAGTGTAGAAGTTGATCCGTCCTGCGGAATCAATAGCCGGAAGGATCCCACGTTGTTGAGACGTAAGACCACACCGCGCCGTTCGCCACCGACTTACGGGACGAATTCACGATTCAAATTAATCGAATTTCGTCCTCATGGACGCGTGATACGGTGGCACGCGCGCAACTCGGCGCCGGTTAAACTAAATTAGCGTTTCACTGCTCGCCGTTTTCAAGCTGACTGATTTGAGCAAATGAAAGACCGGTCGCACTCTCCCGATCACATGCGTGACGTGAATCCTGTTATCGTGACCGCTTTTGTAAAATTACTTAAAAGAGATGGTCTTTTTTCTATTCTCCTTCAAGTCATCGAGAATGCTCTTTTATGTATATAGTTAATAATCTTTTCTCCTCATTGAAATCAAATTTTGCCATCTCACCATTAAAAGAATAAAAAAATCTATTTTGTAACAACAGAAAAAAAAGAGTTATTCAATTCGAAATGTTTGAAATCAATTTCATTCTTTATCTTGTTGATCATTTTTCACAATAATTATTACTGAAATCAAGATGATAATTAGTAAAGTACTTAATTTAAATTAATTTTCGCTAAATTCTTTCGAAATTTAATTCGTACTAAAATTATTCTTAAAAATTTCAAACTGCTTACATTTCCAGGATTAGTTACTAAAAATTAAAATTTACAAAAGTTTCGTAATCTTTGAAATAAAATTAATTTCTATTGGAAAAAAATTGAAATTCTTTTAAAATCAATTACTAGAATTTTAGAATATTCTAATAAATAATTCTAGTAAACAATGGTAACTTCCTTATTTATTACAAAGTAAAAATGTTGTAATACTATTTAACTGTTTCATGCCTTATTGTAATTTTCAACGATGACTACAACTTTAATAATTTATCAAAAAACCTTTTCTTGTAACAAATGCAATTTTTTGTTAATTATAATATTCGAAGCTATAGTTTAAATTCCAAACCTAACGATTTTACGATGAATGTTAAGATGTCGCTTAATTCCTCAATCTGGAATAGAATTGCAAACAGTTTACATTCAACACCCCCATAAAGAAAGGAAGTTGTTTTTGTTTGTTTAAAATAATTTTTCCTCTGATAAAAATAAAACAGTACTTACCACTTTGGAAGTCGATTTTCCACTTCCATGTCCTGCTTTCACATCAAAACGTCCTAACAATGGATTGGTTTGTTGCGGTAGTTCTCCAAGTACATGTTGAATAGTGGCAATATACTTCAATGAATGCAATGGAACGACACGATCATCGTGATCGGCTGATAATACCATTATTGCTGGATATTGATGGCCATCCTTCGGTGTTTTGATATTGTGTAATGGTGAAAATTTAATGAGATTTTGAAAATGTTTTGAATCATCTGAATTTCCATAATCCGAGGCCCAAGCGTATCCAATGGTGAATTTGTGAAAACGTAACATGTCCATTACTCTGTAAACAATTTTATGTGTAAGAGAAAATTGATTTTTAAATTAGTTGACTAATTGATTTTTAGAAAAAATATCATGTAAATTTTAATTTACATTCGTTTAGTAGAAATTTAAACTGATACTTTTACTTGACTGTAAAAAATTACATTAAAATTATTAACTTTTTCGAAGATGAAATTAAAGAAATAAAAGCATGCTTTACCCAACTTGAGCGATAGCGGCGCCGAAAAGATCTGGTCTTTGATTCACGCAAGCTCCAATTAAAAGACCTCCATTACTACCACCTTGGATCGAAAGTTTTTTACTCGATGTATATCCATGTTCAATTAAATATTCCGCTGCACTTTGAAAATCATCGAAAGTATTTTGTTTCTTGAATAATTTACCATCATTATGCCACTTTTCGCCATACTCTCTGAAAATTTTTGTTGATAAAAGTGATATAGTATTTAAAGTTTCTAAAAGTTTAACAGAGACAAAACAATATTTTTCATAATGGAAAAGAGATAATTGAAACTATTAGTTTCAATTGTAGCAAATTAAAGAAAAATAATTTTGAAACTTACCCTCCTCCACGAATATTCGGAATTGCCAAAATTCCATTTAAATGCTGAATGAAGATCAGCCTTGTTACGGAAAACTCTGGTAGTAAACTGATGTTAAATCCTCCATATCCATAAAGCAATGCTGGCATCGAACCATCCAATTTCGCTCCCTATACAAACAATCGATAATTTTAATACAATTTCAAAAATAATTTTAAGTTCAAAACAAATTATCGATTTTCTGAAAAATAATGTGACATTTACCTTCTTCATTGCAATGAACATAGGAATCTTTGTGCCGTCTTTACTAGTATAAAACACTTGAATTGTCGTATACAGACTGGGATTGAAGCCGTCTACTTTTATTTCTCGAAGAATCTAAAATTAATTACAAAAAGAGTAATAATTAGAAATAGAGACAACAAATTTTTTTTTACTATCAGATTGGAAATATTAATTGAAAACTAGAATTTCAAAGTATGTCACTTCACATAATTTTCTTTCAAATGAAAAAAAAAATTAATATGAATTAAAAAAATTGTATTTTATTTTAAAAAATATTATTACCAAAGTAAAACAATACCTTGGGATTTTCGTCTTTCTTTAAATCCATTGTATATATTATTCCCGGATTTAAAATTGAAGTGAAATGATAAAATATTTCAGAGTATTTTTTCTCCCCTGAAAATCCTGATACGGTGCCAACATCAAGAGGAAAATTTCTTATCAATTCTCCGGATTTCAAACTATGTAATTGTAAAACAGACTGAAAAACGATAGAAAAAATTGAAACACTAAAACAGGTGGAAAGAGAAGAAATAACGAAAAGAACATTTTAATTTTATTTTAAATTTAAATTTTTTGTTTTTTAATTGAAATAAAGAATAAGTAGAACATTTTTTACTTACTTTTACATCTTCTATGTAACAGGCAAGAACTTTATCATTGTCTACAGCTGCAGCCCAATCCAGAACATTGTGAGAATGTTCAGGTAATAATACTGTCCAATTTTCTTCTTCATAGTTTAATAAATCAATTGCTATCAATTTGCTATTCGGAGCATTTTTATTTGTACGAAAGATAGCCTTAGTACCATCATTCGTTATATACTGAGAAAAGGAAAGAAAAAATAATTTTCATCTTTTTAAAAATGAAAAACTAATTATAAGATTAGAAAATTGACTCACATCATAATCGGCCTCCATTTTATTCACAATTTGGGTCAAATTAAATTTCCCTTTAATTTCTTCATTCGATTTCAATTCCGTAAAATAAACCAAATTATCCTTACAGTCTTGCATTGGCAAAACAAATAACCATTTACCACAATCCGAAACTTCAGCGGATCTGTACAAAAATAGAGAATAAAATTCTCATTATAATCAATAATTAAATTTCATGTTTACGAGAAAAAAACTTTTAAAAAAATAAAAATTAATAATTTATGATTATATTAAATGAATTTTTACATTCTCCAAAGGGGATTCTCAGGGAATTCGACAACAAGAATGTCTTCAGATTGAGGTGTTCCTACTCGATGATAAAACAATTTTTGATTATGACTCGAATCAGTTTCGGATCCGTCTGCCGATATTTGATGTGGATAACGTCCGTAAAAAATTCCAACATTATCATGAGTCCATGAAATCGATGAATATTTAACTTGCTCTAAAACTTCCGGATACTTCTCACCTACAAAATTTAAAAATCAATTATTAAAAAAATGAATCTAATTTATAAGAATTTTTTTTTAAATTTATAGAAAAAAATACCTGTTTTTGTATTCATAAAATGAATCTTATTCCAATCGGATCCACTCTCTGATAATCCATAAGCGAAAATATTTCCATCTTCGCTAAATTTCGTTTGAGCAATAGAAATTGTTCCATCCGGACTTAATGTATTGGGATCTAGGAATATTCTTGGTTCACTGTCCAAAGTGTCTTGGACATATAAAACACTGTGTGGAAAATTAATAAAAAATTACCAACTTTGAAAAGAAAAGAAAATTGATTGAAATAACAAAAATCTATGAGATGAAAATCATTAACATACCGTTGATTTTGCAGACCATCGTTTTTATAGAAATAATATTTATTTCCATGCCTTGCGGGACAGGAATACTTGGGAAAATCCCACATCTGCTTTAAACGATCATGAATCGCTGATTTCGCCGAGCAGGAAGTCAAATAAGGAGTTGTGATTGCATTTTGAGATTCGACGAAAGCTTTCGTTTCCTCGGAATCAGGATCCTCAAGCCAGCGATAAGGATCGGCTACCTAAATATGTGAATTTCCAATATTTAATATCTTCACTTGACAAAAGAATTCAAAATTCTGTTTTCTAAGTTTAAATATGTCAATCATAATTTGACAATTAGCATAAAGAAACAGTCATTATAAATGCAAATAAAGAAAATAAACTAACCTCAGCTCCATGATAGTTGTCAACTGTATTGTCTCTTCGAGCTTCCGGATATTTAAATTTAATTGCAGAAGATGGCATACTTTTATTATTCCTTATATCGAAGTCAGACTAAAACAAAATTGTCGAAAAATTCAATTAAAAAAAAGAAATACAATGTGTTTAAGGTGTTTAATGTTCAATGTAACATAACCTCATTATTGTAAATTCAAATTCTTACCCGAAAAACAGCAGCAAAATCACGGTGTTCCTTCAGAAAGTTTCTACTCACTGTGTAATTTATATTTTCAAACTTTATACAACTTGTAACTGTTTTTAATAGAGAATTTCTATGATTTATTTTACGAAAACTGCCTGTCAGCATTGAAGAAGAAGCAGGCGACGCAATCGCATAAAAATAAAATCTTGATCCATATTTTTCTTGTTTTGGCAATACTGAAAATTCAAAAGTTGGATTTCATTTCCGGTTTTATATTCCTCGGCGCATTTTTGTGCATAAATGATAACAATTTAAAAGAGTTAATAATAAGTAACGACATAATCTATAAATTATCAATTAATATTTTTAAGTTTGTCTGTGAATACCAATTACCATGAGATAAAGTTAAAAAATTGGTTAAATTTTCTCTATAATTATAATTTTTTAGTTGACTTGGCAACATTGTAAAATCACGATTTCCGTTAAATTTAGTTCCGGTTCCGGTTCACCCATATTGGCAAGTGTCAACAAACAACAAACGCAACAAACATTACTGGTTTGCTGCAATTCGTGAAAATTGTGAACAATTGTGAAAAAACAAAAACGTGAATAATTTACAACCAGTGTGAAGTTATCGATGATTAAAGATAATCAATAGAAATCGTCTTCAAAAAAGTTTCCAGTATGCACAGTAATTGGTAAGAATTTGTTTAAAAGCACAAAAAAAAGAATAATTTTACTCAATGATCTTGGGTAGATTCTCGTAAAATAAACCTTAAAAAATTGTTTAGGCAGCTAATTTTTGTTCAAAGTATATTTAAAAAAAAGTAACTTTTTAACGTTCAACCGTCACTGCAATATACCGCCCTCTCAGGACAACTATTGGAAGTATTCATTCTTCCGGCGGACTTCATTGTATGCACATCAGCTGCGCTGAATCACATCGTTTTTATCAAGGAAAATGGTAAGATTTTTGCAATTTTAGTCAAAAAATGTTACTATATTTATTAATTGACGATCTTTTACCAAATGATCCGAATATTACGAACAAAAATGTGTTTTTTTATGAATATTTTGTGGCATAAAAATTGTGTTCTCTCTGCGAGGTAAGGTATGTGAACCCCGTAGCTCACAATTTTTGCCTATATGACGTCAAAATAATTAATATTTTTTATGAATAACTGACTTTTTATTGAAAATATCGATATAATAATTAAAATATGAAAAAATATCCCCCCCCCCTTTCTTTATTGGCCACGGGTATTTTCAATGCAAAAATTGTGTTTCCCTTGCGCTTGGGCATGTGAACCCCTTGGGCGCCATATTGCTTTTTTCCTACTGTGACAAAGTAATTGGCATTCTCAACAAATCAGTGGATTTTATCAATTTTAAATAGATTAATTAATTCAGTATTAAAGTCAACTATTTAAATAGATTAATATTAATATAGTAAGTATAATAATACTTCAATTTGTTTACAAATTATGAAAATATGTCTAAGAAATCCTCCTCCCCATTTTTATTGGTTACGTAGACTTCGAGTTCGATTTTTCTAAGATATTGAAAAATTAGTTATTTATATTAATACTCGCGAAGGGAAACTGAAGACAATATCGTAAATTCTATTGATTTTTTATGTTTTTTCATCTAATTAATAAAATTTGATAAATGACTTTCATGACGCTTTTATAAAAAAAATTTTTTGTAAGTTAGGTTATGTTTCATATATTTCTTTACAATTTTCATGGTGATGAATAAATAAATTTATTAATCGTTTTATGGTAAATATTTCTATAAATAAATCTTGTTTTTGGGGGGAGCGATTTCTTTAATTTGCATCATTGCGACAAATTTTCATTGCGTTTGTCTCTCTTAAAGTTAATTCAATAATTGATATTTTATCTTATATAGTCTTATTTGATTCGGTAATTGAAATGTTTATTATCATTTAATGCACTAAATATTTTTTATAGCATTTTTTTAAACAAATTTTTGTATTTATAACCATATTTTACTGGTGAAATTAAAAATATTTAAAGTTTAAAACTTCTTTTGGACTTTAAAAAAAATTGTATTGTAATTAAATTCTATTTCGAGTTAAAATTTTAATTTATAATTTTTTTTTTGCAAATTAACGAAAACAATTCAGTAAATTAATTTAGATTCGCTTGTTGTTTTTAAACGGTTTTTCAATTTTTTGTCTTTCAGTTTTTACAGAATAAAATTATTTTTGTTAACTAATGTCAAATTAATATTGTGCTTAACAAAATTGATTCAGGTAATCGATTGTATTTGAGTATAATAATAATTTATTTAATTGATATTGATTTATCCTTTTCATAATTATTATTGAGTCAAGTAAATTGTGTTTATTTCAATTTCAAAATATATAAAATTTTCACTTTGAATGCAGATTATTTGACTCAAGAAATATTCGGTTCATATAAATATTAATTTATTGCCAAATAATCGATTACTTAAATAATTTTTTCAGTGATTAATTTTAGTATATTAAATATTATTAATTTAAATTCATAATTTAATTAGTTTCTAAATTTTATAATTTAATAAATATACTTACAACTCACGAAAGCAATGAATAAAAGTAAAGAATTGCATAAAGCAAAGCGTGCCATAATTTTAATTAATTTTTTGTTATAAAAATAAAGTAAAAATTTTAATTTTTGTACTATTCTGTAAAATTTCCTTTCTTTAAATATGTTATTTAATTTTTTTATAATTACACCATTGTATTCACACACTTCGCAGAAAGAATCTTGAAAACAAGTCTACTTTTTGGACTTTACGACTTTTTCAGATTCTATTTTCGTATTTATACGTTACATGACTTAAACCCTCACTCTCTTTTAACGCATGCGTAAATCTTGAAAAATAATTTGACTTCCTGATTTAAAAAAAAAATTGATTGAATTCAAATTTTAGAATTTAACTTTAAATTCTTTTTAGAAAATTTGCTTTACTTTATTTTTATTTAATAAAATTGAAAACAACAATGTTTTTTTAATTCTATTAACTAATTTTGTTCTTGAAATGTTGTAGGTAATATTTGGGATTCGACGAAAAACGATTTTCAAATTATCATCATTACCAAGAGACGCAGATACAATTACATGGTTTACAACTCACACAAGGTCAGTTTAACTCGATTCTTCTTCCTTAGTAATAATATTACTTTTGTGACTCAGAAATTAAATTGCATAATTATCTTTAATTTGGTTCCTCTCAATTTTTAACTTACGATGTCCACCTCCGTGTAATTTTTCTTTTTTTATACAATCGATAAAATAATTTTTAACTCTTAGAAATTTACTTTAAAAATTTTATTTACATTTTCATACAAATATATATTTTTATTCATTTTAACAATTTTAATATTATGAATAAAATGATTTAATATTATAATTATTATAATTAATAAGTAATAATTTTATTATTAAATTATTAGATTATTAAATAATAAAATTAATATTATTTTTCAAATTCTTTAACTGTGAGTAATATCAATTAAAAAAATTGATAATTTCTTTATTTATATGTTCAATTCAGTTTAAATTCTCCATAAAATAAATTACAGTCAGTTCGTTAAATTTTTAACTTACTTTGTTTTGCGTTTTTCACAATCTTCCAATAAATTTTTAACAATTGCATTTAATTTACTTTTGAATGCATTAAAACTAAATAAATCGATAAATCGTTGTTTTCCATCTTTGCCAAATTGAATTTTCATTTTCTTATCACAAACAAATAATCTCATTTTTCCCGCAAAATCAGTACTATCAGCGTCTACTAAAAATCCAGTTTGTCCATTTTTAATGGATTCTTTAGGACCACCGGAATTTTGAGCAATAACAGGTTTACCGGCGTACATTGCTTCGAGTGGTACAATGCCAAAATGTTCATTGCTCGGTGTATAGACAACAATATCGGCATGATGAAGTAGTGAAATTTTTTCCTGATCCGATGGCGAACGGAGAAAAATAACATGATCACTGACATGTAATTCATCAGCAACTCCTATTAATTCTAAATAGTGTTCAACATTTTCTTCAACACGTTTATCATAACCACCGGCCATTATTAAATATATTGATTCAAAATCTTTTCTTAAAAGTGTTTGAAGTATTGACATTGCTTCAATACAAAGATGTAAATCTTTTTTCCTCTCGTAACGATTAATTGACAGTACAACGAAACTATTTTTTGGTAATTTTGTTTCTATCACACGTTCGAGGGGTAAAACTTTTGTTTTATCAAAAAATTCTGTGTGTACTGTTGGATATAATATTTCAGTCTCAACTTTCAATTTTTTGAATGTCTTCTTAAAAACTTCTTGAGTGAATTCACTGTTGACGAATATTTTGTCTGCTTTGCCTGTTGTGTATTCTTCTAAATAATTCAGAGGCGCGCGATAAATTTTCTTCAATAGACCACCTCTGTTTGATAAGAGTTGATCAGGAAAATGTACGTAAAATATAACGCACGAACATCGCAATTTTAGAATTGGAATGCAAATCGATACTAAATCACATAACACAATATCGGGAATGTCTTCGAGAAATAGAATACAAAGGGCAGCGTAAATCTGAAAAAAGGAAAATATGGTTAGTTCTTAAATATTTAAATTTGGATTTTTTTATTGTTATCGTTAATTTTGTTAAATAAAATTTGACTCTGATCAAGATAATCTTTTTTCGATTGAATCTTACAATATTAAATATTTATTTGGTGAGAATTTAATTTGGAGAAATAAATTTTAAACGAATTGTTAATAAATATTTTGATGACTTAAATAATTCTACTAAATGAATTTTTTTAAAATTAAAATTCTGCGTTTTAAAATTCTGGCAAATAATTTGAATGCATAGAAATTTTATTTAATATCTAGATACATAAAATTGTTTCACAATCTTAAATGATTAAAAAATTTTCCAGTCGAAAATTTGGTTAAACAGAAATTTATTAAGAAAATGTTAATTACAATTGTTAAGTAGAATCTTAATAACTTAAAATAAAATATTAATTATTTAAAGGGAAAAATGATGTAAATTCGTAAATTAAAAAGTATGAAATAGAAAATTTGCTAAATGGCAATTATTTTTAATTTAAAAAAATATAAAGTTAGAAAGATTTTTTTAATTATTATATAACTTATTATAAATCATATTTCTTGATAAGTAAACGTCCCAAAATTTTAAGAATTGCATGATGTAATCATTGCATACCATTCGAATGTAGGCACAAAGTGCAAAAAATCGACCATAAATGTGTCTCGGCAACCAATCACCATAAACTGTTACCGGTATGGTACCATCTTTTGTCTCCATAAAACAATGATTTGGATCATGATGAGTTGTCACAAATTTAACATCGTGTCCTCCACTTTTTAATGCAAGTGCAGCATCAACAACTAATCTCTCTGCTCCTCCAACACCCAAATCGGGATGTAATAATACTATCCGACCCATTTGTGATAAATTCTGTATTTTTATATAACGAACCAAAGAAATCAATCACCTCCTTACTTTCTTTTATTCACAATTTTCAATTTTTTCAACTATTTTATTATATTGTGTCGAGTATCAAGAATTCCGGTAACAGGCGTGAATTTTTGTGATTTTTGTGTTGACGTGGTGAAAACATAACCTAGTAAACATTGTTCTGATGACGTCGTCAGTGACGGGTTGAACACGCATTCAGGTTTAAGATCACTTCTTTCTCTTTTTTTGATGGCCTTTTGATTAATTATGTGGTCATATCTGAACACGTAATTTATAAATAGTTTACATATATTGAAAAATGATAACAAATCACACAAACTGAACACACAGGCAAATGACGTGAGTCGTTCTGGTTGCCTAGGAAATTAACCGCAGGCGCAGGGGTTTTTTTTTACTAGGTATAGGAAATACAGTTTTCTACATAACCACCGACCAGGGCTGGACGAATAAAAAAATCCTGAGAGTCACTGAAAAAATTATACTTTATTTAAACAAAATTTATTTATTGTTAAACTATTATTATAATTTTTTAGTAAATAAACAAAATTAAAAAGTGAAAACAAAATTTAACGCTACTATATTAATGAACAATTATTAAATATATTTAATATTTAATTTATTTAATTAAATAAAAATAATGTTATTTAAATTATAAAATATCCTTCTTTCATTGATAAAAACATTTTCTAATGGGTCTTAAATGAAAATTATACAATAATGATAATATGAAATTTATTAAAATTGGTGTACAAGATATTTGATTATTTAACTATAACTTTTATAAAAGTTTGAAAAGCTGATATATAAATGTTTCGAATGTATCGCGTTAAATTTATAAAACACATTTATTTTTATCAAAGTTAATTTTAAAAATTTTTTTGTTTCTATTATTATAGTAATTTGCAATATCTGCATGCGTAGAAAAATGAAATATTAGCATACCTAATATGCAAGTAAAACTATTATTATTGTGTCGTAGACAATTTTTTTTAATAATATATATTTATGAAAATCTACATTTAACTTGCTGCTGCTTTCTTTAAAAATGTAAATATTTATTTTTTACTTTTTTTTCTACTTTTGAGATAAAAAGGTGCAACGTATAATAAAAATATGTAAAACTTAATAACAATCAATTTTTTTGTAACAAGTTTTTCATATTTAAAAATTTAATTTTTCCTGTGAAAAATATTTAGTTATTGGTTTGAGAAAAAGTTTAATTGGAGCAATAAAAGTTTGATTTAATGAATCAAAATTTGATATAAACATAAAATTTGTTTGACTAAAAATTTTAATTTCTTATTTTGATTTTATATTTTATTGTGGAAACGATATATTTTTCTCAGTGGAAATTCGTGGAAATTTTTATCACAGTCCAGAAAAATAATTTTTTATTACACAATTTTTTATATAAATAAAGTGCGTTTTCTATAAAATGAAATATATTCATATAACAATACAAAATTAACTAATTTTTGGCAGCGTTTAGCGCTTTTATAAGCTGAATTTATTTAGTTTCCTAATTTTCGTGAAAATTTGCAACTTTTTATTTAATGTTTAGGAAAAGGAAAAACGACTATTAACGATTTTCTTTGAAATTTTTGATCGATAAGATATAGTTGCAAATTTGTCTATAATTCCAAATATGTTCGGTTTTTAGAATTAAATTTTGAATTTACGTAAAATAGAATAAAATTCATTTTAAATTGTCGAGTCCAGCGACAATATTAATTTTTGTTCTCAACTAAATGTGTATATTAGTTTCGTCAAGTTATTTATTGATAATTCATTTAATTTTCCAAAGAATTTCTTTGTGTTTTGATAAAACGAATCTTTATTAATATTTTGGCTATCTATAAAAGGCGGGATCATCAAGGCCGTGTGTGAAAACTGCTGTGAAAAATTGTGAAAAAACTTTTCCTATATATTGCTCTCGTTCCTTATGTACAGGCCAAACACCTTCTAAAAAGCCAATATGTCCACCTCGTGATGTAACAATCATAGCCACGTGTTTTGTATCTTTAACTTCTTCTAAAGGAATTGCTGAAAAGACAAATGATGATTACAGTTTTTTTACATTTCTCATTATAGGGAAAGGTGTATCATTATAGGAGGGGTTTTGTAGAAAAACAATTTTCTCGAAGGAAATATACATGTGTCTCATAAAAAGAAGTTGAACTTGAATAATTTATTCTGAGATGATTTACATTTTAAATTATTGACGGGAAATGTTATAATTATGGTGAGTAATTACCTTCTAGAGGTTGGAAAGGGTCATCAGCTGCGCTCAGACAAAGTAGAGGAATTTGAATATTATGTAGTTTATCGTGTAGAGTTGCTTTAGCATAATAAGCCTCGACATCTTTAAATCCAAATGCTTTCGATGTGAAACTCTCGTCGAATTCTCGAACTGTTCGACTCTGAAAATTTATTAATATTGAGTGAAATTTGATGATTGGTTTTTGTTTATCTATTCTATATTTTTTTGCATATTGTTATAGTTAGCAAAAAAATAGTGATGCTTTACCTTGAGAACAACGTCGAAATTCTCAAAGGTCGTCTCGCAAATTATCGACTGATGACGAGACACATTTCGACAAAGATTTCCACATAAATGACGATTTAACATAAGATTTAAATATGGCTTCTCTATACTTTTTGTCGCTTCGAAAACATTCCATGGTACGGAAATTGCGAGACTCGCCATTAATTTTCCAACAGCTCCTGGACCAGTTTGTGCTAAATAATTACCTAAAATTAACCTACGCGAAAAAATACATTATTCTGTTATTATTATGTTTCTAGATATAGTGACCGCGAATATTTGATATAATTAGAGAAATAAAATTTCCGTTAAAATTCTGCAAAATGATCCTACAGATTTTGTCATTATTTTTAGTATAGTTGAATCAATTTGCAATTCTGCTATTGATGACAGTTAAGTGGCAATTGTACTAAATATGTTAAATTTGTTAAATGAAATATCAATTCGGTCAAGTGATTTTGAGTAATGACAGTATTTCTTTGTTGTATGAACAGTTGTATTATAAAAAGTCAATTGCATTTTGGATAAATGACAATTTAGCTGAATCAGTTTTCGGTCAATCGTATAAATTCGGCAAAATGGAAATTCGATTAAATGACAAAAAGGTCGAGTGTCAATTTGTTTAAAATAAAATAGACATACCCTCCTAAAGAAATACCTGTGGCACCAATAGCCACATTTGGACGCGTTTTTCTAACATGTTCAAGAACCTCGGTAAAGTCCTCGATATTTGCAGCACAATATAATCTTGGTGTCTGAAAATAAATAAATCGTCGGTCAACATTTCAATTGAAAAAGGTTAATTACTCTTATTATTGTTCGGAATTAATTTAATTACCTCCTGTATGTGATGCACATAACAAAAATATTAACTCTCAATAATTTTAATCGAACCTTTAATAGAACAATTTTCATTCAATCAGTGATAAATTAAGGCCATTGGAAAAATGAGTAAGAATATTAATTATTGTTGATGTTTAATAATAGTTTAAATTAAATTTTTTTTCTTAATAATACCACTTAGAAAAACGAAATACATATGTTGATTAATTTATTGAGAGTATTTGAAAATTAGTTGTTAATGAAAAAGGAAATAAAATTTCGACAAAAGTCAAGTAATTGGAGGAAAAAGTAAATGTTTAGTTGTAGAGGAAAAAAAATGTTGAAAAGCAAGAAATATCACGTGGGTGTAGTTTTGTCGTGTGTACACACTGACAAAAACTGATGAAACTTTTTTCCTTTCTTTTTTTTGTCTTGTGTGTATTAGTGTTTGTAAGGTGAAGCGTATAAGACTTTTTTAAGATTACTTTTAGTTGTACTCCTCCGAGACCTCTGTTGTTAAAGATCACACATTTTATTCCCACATTTTTTGCCGCTGCTACCAAGCATTTAATGTAATCTGCTTGGCTTGCACCAGTTAGTCCCGGAAGAATAATTATAATTGGCGATGTGTTACAACAATTATCCTCAGCCCAATCCAAAGCCACTTCACCACCATCTGAGAGTATTAGAATTTCCCTATAAAAAGTAAATTTCTCTTATTTTTTCTTCCTCTAAAAGTGATGGGAATCTTTGAAAGTCATTAAATTATCTAAATATTCTTCTATTTTACTTTTTTTAATTAATATTAATAATAAAATTTAAATTATAGTAGTAATAAAAAGAAGCATTTTTACTCATTCAGATTTAGAGAGGAATAGAAGCGATCCCCCACTATGCGTGCGTTGGGCAGAAAGCCAAAGGGAAGGGAGAAGCAGCTATGTGGTGGGGGGTCGCTTCTCCTAATATTGTGCTCCCAATATTCATTAGTGCAAGAATGATGACAAAAATATCAAATATATTTTTATAGTAAAAATATATAATAAATTATTTTCAGTTGTTATTATTATTATTATTATTATCGTTATTTAATAATTATAATTGTAAATTATTAAACAAATAATAAATTACCTGTGATACGGAATCTGTGGCAACATTCTCGAGCGTAAAATACTGGCAAAAACCGTTTGTGCCCTCGATTCAAAACACCACAATGTTGGCCAAAATTTACTCTCTAAGATGGGCATGTGCTTTTCCAGAAATTCTTTGAATGGACCATTGGCACAAACAAAGAGGGGAGTCTAAAATAAAACATCTAGATGTGTGTAAAGCAGGAATAATAATTAGATTAGGTGATTGAAAAACAACTTTAATATAGAAAAAAATTATTTAAAAGATATATACTGTTTATTTTGCAATTTACACACCTCTATAGAGGTGAATAAAGGTGAATGAATATATTCATTATATAATATAGTTTACCTTTGTTTATTAAAAAAACTATTTTTATAACGTAAAAAAAATTAATATTTTTTTACTGAGATATATTTTTTCTCTATATAGTTATTTTATCGAGAAAAAAATGAAGTAACATTGCGTGCATAAAACTATATGTTTAATATAGTTCAAGCGTTATGGAGAGTAAGGAACTTTCTTTAAGGTCAAATTAATAATGATAACCTACTCAATGCTCAATATACTTCAATTCCTAGACAATGCGTTACATCTGTTTTTTTGCTTCTTTTTTTTAATAAATAGTTAAATTGATAATAATACCAAAAATATTCAATTTAAGAAATTGAAAAAAAATTTAAAATATAGAAAAAAATATTAATTTATTAAAGTTGTAAAAAAATATACATTTTGTTTGTTTCAGATTGTTTCTCTCAAGGATTTAATACTATTTGCAACTAATTTTGATGAACCCAATTGAAAGATAATTTAGGAGTCATTTTTTATTTAAAAAAGGCAATTCTTGTTCCCTGTCGATGCTGAAAATGATTTCATCGGAATTAATATAAATGTGAGTAATTTTCTATTTTTATTTTAAATTTATATTCAGGTATGTTTTGTTCATCTTTATATAAAAATTATTTTCATTTTATAATTTTTTTAAAAGAATTTTAAAATTGACTGTTTTTGAGAAATTGCATTGTTTTTTAATGGTGAAATGATTGTGGTAACAAAACTTTTGATATGCACGTGACAAAATGCATAAATGTTCAAAGTACAATCATTTTTTATACAATATTATATATATATATACCATCGATCAGGTTTGTGATATTGTTGTCAGTTTTATCAGAAAAGTCAGACTGCGTGCAATTATAATTATATATCTTATCAGTAACGTCTTTATATCTATTCAGGAAAAAACTAAAAATTTTCTATTCAATAATCAATCGATGAAGAAAAATTTTTTTTTAATATTATTTAATAGAAAAAAAAATAATAATTGACTATAATATAAAAAATACTTTTAACAATAAAATAATATAAAAGAAATATTAATAAAATAAAATTGACAGAAATAACTTTTTGTGTGATGTAAATTTTATTATAAAAAATTGTTTAGTATGAAATGACCATTTTTTTTATGAGTTTGAATTAATGAAATTGCTTTATCAAAATACTTGCAGAAATGTAATTTTCAAGTTAATTAAATTTAGTTAACACTTTACATATATTAAAGAAAAGCTTAATTAAATTTGTGTGTTTATTAAAATTATAATTAAAATGAAATTGAATAATTAAAAGTGAATTTATATTAATTAAAGTTGTAGGTAAATGGACAATTAATTTAAAGTAATTAATTAAAATTACTATTTAATTAAAATTATTAATTCATTTAAATTATATAATTTCATTCAAATTGTTATTTAATTAAAAATATTTCATTTAAATTGCGATTTAATTAAATTGAAGTTATTTGTTAATTAGAATTACGATTGTCTTTAAGACTTGATTCATATTAAAATATTTTAATATTTATATTTATAAAATTCAGAATTGAATCAAATTAGGATGAAATTCAAGTTGAGACTAAATTCAAATTTGAAACTAATTCAAATGAATTGAAATTAGAACCACATTCAAATGGAAATTAAATTCAAAATTATTAACAAATTCAATTTACAATTAAGTTCATAATGACATTGAATTCAAATAAAATCTGAATGCAATTCATGATTACATTTGGTTATAAAAATATTTTTAAATATTTATTTAGAAATCTGAAATTTAAGTTTTATTTTCACTTTGAAGAAAATTTGCGATTACAGGAAATTGTTCGTTTGTATAAATAATGCCGACTCAATACTGTTTTCTTAAAACATTTTTCCATTCAATTAATTATCTGATTATCAGGAGAATTATGAACCATTAAAGTTTCTATAAAAGATTCACTTTAATTTTTCATAATACGACCTTTTTTAACTTAGAAATTATTTGAATAAAGTAAAACTACATACTATAAAATTAATTAAATTGCTCTAAAATAATACTGAAAAAAATTACTTTGATTCAAAAACTGTGCAATGTTGTAAATATTTTAAACAAATTTTGCAATTTTTTCAAAAATGGTTAATTTTGAAAAAATAATGAATTATGCGCATTTGATAATTATATAAAAGTGTATTAATATATATATACATTTTTGTATAATAATAATTCTTGATGAAGTATACTTATATATATATATATATATATATATATATATATATATATATATATATATATATATATATATATATATATATATTGGTACATGCGTACAAAACGCGATTAATAAAAATAAACCCCCACTTTATAAAAAATAAAGGGAGAAAATGAAGGAAATTCAAAATTTGGATTATAATTTTTTGAAAAAAAAGAGTTGCCTAGTTGAACATTGAACGGAGGGAAAAAAGAGTTATTTTTTTAACATGAAAGGGAATGGACTTATCGATTCGAGTGCGCATAGTGTAATGCTTTACTCACTTTTACAACTTCCCAAAGGTAGTAAATGCAAAAACCAATTCCCAACAAACCACCGTAGTAAAATTTTGGATTGTTGAGGGCGCTCTCGACTAGTTCCAACATTTTGTCTCGCACAATTTTGATTATACTATTTTCTATATATATATATATATATATATACATGTATTTACACACAGATACACGCACACACACACCCACTATATAAACACACTGCGGTGTGAATGCGGTATAAGTTGCTTTAACTTGGAAAGCTCGTTGTCGAGAGAGAGAGAAACGAGAGGTTCGAACGCGAAAGCCGGTCTACGAGCGCTGCCCAGTAAGACTCACGTGTCACGTGACTTTTACGTAACGAAATCTTGATTCATACCTATAATGCACAAGTGCCTATTTTCAAGTTATATTTTATACAAAAAGTGTGGAATTTAAAATGAAAAATTACGGATATTTTATCTTTTATATAAATGACTGATAGATCAGATGAGAGAGTATCACGTAATTTTCTTTTTACTATTTTTTTTGTTCTTTTTGAATATTATAAAATAGAATATAGGAAGTTTTATTAGTTGAACAATTATTTATATATTCGTGTGCTGATAGAATTGTTATGTTCAGTTTATTTTGTTTGTCAAGTAAAAAGAATAATTTCTTTTGTTTAAAATAATTTTTTTGTTTTAAATTTAAATTAAATTTAATTAAATTTAAATTTCAATTGAAATTTAGAATAATTATCAGTAAGAAAAAAATTATTTTTACTGAAAAAATTTGTTTTTAGTAAAATTATAAAATTCTTGACGGAGTAAACAAATTTTGTTTGCTTTAAATGAACAAAAAAAAGGAATAAAAAGAAAAGAGCAAGTAAATTTAAATTTTTTCCTTTTCTATTGTGGTAGAAAATATTACTCGGTAGTTTTTGAAACAAAAATCTTTTGTTTGGAAAGGCAAATATGAAAAATTTTGCTTATGAAAATAAAAATGATAAAAAGTTTTAGATGAAATTTTTTTTCTAAATCTTAATTAGTTTTCGGTTTTTAAGAATTAGTGAATTAGTATACAATAGTTTACATTAACAAAAATTATTAAAAATCGGTAGAAATTTGTACTATTTTTATCTTTCTTATTTTTTAGTAAAAAAGCAATTAAGAAAAATTTCTGATCAATTTTTTCTAATTTTCCACTAAACAAAATACTCAAATTTGATAATGGTTTAAAATAAATATCAAAAATAAAGGAAGTTGGATTACCAAATATTTTTCTATCTATACTTTCATATGTGACGTGTGTTTTCTATTTACTTTCACGTTTTCACCTCTAGGACCCATTGATTTTATATTAGATTTTTATTTTTGTATTATGATAAAGAAGATAATTTTATTACGTTTAGCAAGTAATTTAGTAATAATCGAATCATTAACAAAACAAAAGTATACAGTATTTAGTTACTAATACATTTAATAAATGAATCAATAGAATTAATAAAATATATTATTTGCTGTCACACTAAAAAAAAATATCGAAAATTTGCCTTTTAATTCGGTAATATTTGCCAAATAGTAAAAGCATTACAAATAGGGCAATTCTTTTGTAAAAAAAGGAAACTTTTGCTTCTTTTAACAAGGTTATACTTTTATTACAGCATAGTTGCCTTAGTAACTAAAGCAAATATTTCCTTTTTTTTACAGAAACAATTACTGTATTTGCAATGCTTTGGTTATAAGGCAATAATTATACTAAATTAAAAATACTCTCGCCACTTTTTTTCCAGTGTAGATGTTAAAGTAAATAAAGGTTCAGAATTTAAAAGTCTAAGATAATTTTTTCACTTTTCGTTTAAATTTTCATTTTGAATCCCAATATATTTAAAATAAATGTTTTACCGTCTTGAATATAAAAAACCCGTTTTTCTCTTATCTGCCTGTAACACAAATTTGAAATAAAATTTCAAGATATATATTCATTTTTTTTTTTTTACAAAGTAAAATTCGATTTGAGACAAAATTTATAACGCCTTTGAAGTCTATTAAAGAACGAAGCACCCATTAAACAATTAAATTTTATAGGTATACATAAAACGGAAGTTTTATTTTAGGAAATTGGTATCGGAAAATTCATGTTTTAGACTATAACGACCGTAAATGTCAAGTATATAGAAAATAAGTGTGTTGAGGTCGTATATAGGGAGGAGGGAAAAATACTATCGACAGTATGTACGTGAATGGAATTAATTATTATCCTTCCAAAATGTTTTTTTTTATTTTTTGCTGCATATTTCTGAAAAATCTTTTTTATATTGTACTGGTTAAAAAATTCTTAATGTTTTTTATAGTCATAAAATGCTCTTGTAATTTGATATACTTGTCTTGTGGGTCAATTACCTGATGTTGTTAGCATTGACATTATTCCCTTGTTTCTTGTCGCGATTTTCATCATAAATCATCAAATTGACAGTCTAATAGATCTTATTTCAAAAGAAAAATGTTAAATTTGTCTTGACGATTGTTTTCTGGGTGAGATTAATGTTTTCACAAATTCATCTCGAGGGCATTAAATTAATGTATTTGTCTGGTTATAATTAGGGAAAGGCTTTGTTTCTACCTGTACAATGAGAGTAAGTCATAATTAAGGGAGACCGTATTAACCCTTTTTCCCTCTCTGATCCCGTAAACCTTACCCCTCGACAAATATAGATTTAATGCCACTTAACGAAGTTTTAGGGAAAAAAAGGAAAAATCTCAGAGATATTAAAAAATGACGGCTTTGAACTTGATAAATTTTAAAAAATTTTTAATTTAAACGAATATTTATTTATCTTTGAATTCATTTCATTTATATTTTGGATCGAGGTTAATATTCAGTTGGAATAATTTTAATAAATATTAAATCAGGGAAATTGAAAATTCATTTATTTTAAATTTTCCATTCCCGCGAAAGACAAAATCAGTTACTATAAGCAATACTTTTTATATTTTGATAGCAGATGATTCTTCTCGGAATTTTGAAATTCGCGCCGAAATCTTTTATCGAATTGGACAACATATTGAAATCTGATTGAAAGTAGTTCTGACACATGCACTTTGATAATTTTTAATTTGCATGAATTTAATTTAAATTCTGTGAAATAAAATTATGATGTGTTTCTGTTAATTAAAGAATAATTTAAAACAATGGAAATTATTCGATTAAAATTGTGTTAAGTATAAATTAATTTAATTCATTGAAGAAAAGGGCAGACTAGTTTTTTAGTTAAGTATAAAATGTAATTGAAAAAAAGTTATTTTGTTTTAACTTAAAATTTTATAGCTTACATCACCAACTATTTTTAAGACTTCGAGTAGGTGTAATGCTGATAGTTTTTTGAGAAAGGAATTAAAAATTGACATATTTAACAAGACTTTTATAAAGAGACATACTTTTGAATAGCTTCAATAATTATCTAAATTTACCTGAAACTTGGGTCAAATTAGAAAAAATTTAAACTATAAAAAGAAAAAAATATAATTTGGATTTAACGGTTTTTTAATTATTTTGTTTCAACCTGTTTTTCTTATCAAAAGAAATAAGTGCATAGTTTGTTGTAATTGCTTATCTTTGACGAAACATAACAAACACGTTTCACTAAAATGTTTTTAACGATAACGAGCATTTATAAAAAATTGTTCTGTTTACAAGTTCCATTCAGTTACAAAAAGAAGTTAATTTAAAATTTTTCCCCTTCAACATTTTAAGCTGTCGTTACATTTTATCTGAAAAATTATTTTCCCTCTAATTGTAATTGCTAATAGCAAAGGAGTAATTTTAAGTGTCACATAGTTTCAGTTAAAAAATTAATCTTCTTTTTGTGTTATTAAATAATAGTTTAGGGATTTGCAAAGAAAATGAATTAACTAATTTATAAGATACTAGCTGTCGTACCCGTCTTCGACGGGTTTTAGTTTCTACCAATACATTTAACAGTGTGTCTACCAATTTGGAAAATAAGGAAATAGCTCAGGAATTTAATTTGACCGGAAAAAAATAATAATTAGTTAGGTACCATTATAGCTATTTCAGTAGGAAAATATTACTATTTGAATCAGTGATTGACTTTTTATTATCAAATTAGTTATTTTAACCAATTCAAATGCAGAGAACAATATTTGTCAATTTGTAGTACTTTAATTAATGCATTAAAAATTTATCAAATTTCCCACCCAGTTTTTGGAGTTATAGTAGAGTCTAATTGGAACTAATTGTATCGCAAAGGTTACGACTGCTAAAACCTAACATAAGACCTATATTTTAGACTGAAAGTAGGGCTTAAATTTTGACCCGGGTCTGTTTTCATAAATATTATACATCAATAAAAATTAAAGTAAAAAGCAATTTTTTAAAAGCGAATTAATATAATGAAACTTTTTCTTAATTTGATTGGAAAATTCCCAGCTTTTTCCAGTTTTCCCCGTTTGGTAGTTACCCTGTTAAATGTATTAGTAGAAACAAAAAACTGTCGTAGACGGGTACGACAGCTAGTAATATAATCTATATTTTATATGAACTTAAGAAAGAGTATTTTCATAAAAATAAGTAAATTTTTATAGCCATTTGTAGATTTATTTATGGATAAAATCAAGTAAATTTAAATTTAACAAAAAAAAGATAAACCGTGCGAAAAAGGACAAAGCAGGAAATTTTGTTAAATAAAATAGACACCGTGTTAACTTTTGTCTTTACATTGCTCAAAACATCTCTAAAAGTTAAATCTAGAGTTAAAATAAAAAAAAACGTTTTAACATATAAGTTTTTGCCTAGTGGCATATAATATGCTTGTATTGTATCAGAGGTGACTTACAATTTCTTGACATCCTGCAATATCATTTTAATCATAAAAAATTTGCATTTTCAATATTTCTGAAATTCTTGAAAATATTAGATTAATTTGATAAATAATTCTCAATTACACTATTTTTACGTCAAAATAATAATCAGAGACTCCAAAAATACTACTGAATTAAACTTCATAGTAATTAGTATCGATTTTTTGATATTGAAAATATTTTTATATTTACTTATAGGATAGTATTTTTTGCAAAATTATGCTAAAATCTGACTAAATAACATATAATATTGAATTTTAGAAAGTTTAAAAGCTATCCATTAAAAATGTGAAATTTGGAAATTTTCCATTTTTTGAAGTTTTTGAAAATATTTTTATATTTACATCTTAGTTATAGGATAGTATTTTTTGCAAAATTATTCTAAAATGTGACTGAATAACATGTAATACTCAAATATAGAAAGATTAAAAGCAATCCATGAAAAATGTAAAATTTTGAAATTTTTGATTTTTTGAAAACATTTGTATACTTACATATTAGTTATAGGACTTTATTTTTTGCAAAATTATGCTAAAATGTGACTAAATAACATGTGATACTCAAGTATAGAAACTTTAAAAGCAATCCATGAAAAAATTAAAAATTTTGAAATTTTCGATTTTTTGAATTTTTTGAAGAAATTGAATATCTCCCGTTCTAATTAATATTTTTTAAATCTGTAAATTTATAAACCTTCCTTGGGTCAATACCTAATAACCTACCAAGTTGGACTTAAATCGATTTACATGTTTTTGTGTGATTGGGGTACAAAGTTTTTGTGACAGACATACGTACATACATACGTACATACATACGTACATACATTAAATTTTTTAAGAATATTTTTGGAATCCCTGATGTCCATAATAACTAATCATGTTAACATTTTGAAGTTTTAAGCAATGTACAGACAGACATCTGATTTTATTAATAAGGATAATTAATTAATATTATTTGAGTAATTAATACCAGAAGTGAATTAGTTAAATAAGTCAAGTCGAAAAATACGAAGAAAAATGGCGTATTTATTTAACACAGTCTTGTTACAGGATGAGTACAATGAAATCGTACTAATATTCACCATTTTCGATATCAATATTCTAATTTATCTTTCAAAACTATATGTATATCGCAAAGAGTATTAGAACTAAACAATCATTTTTATTTCACAGAAAAAAATGATGATATAGACAATCTTGTGAGAAAATCATTTTTTTTCAGGAGAAAGTAATTTTAAGAATTATTAAAAATAATCTTTTCAAAGACTTAACAGAAATAAATTGAGTATTAAAATTAAAAGGATTATAATTAAAAATTGTAAAAGAATGTTTTACAAAAGCTGTTTCTATTATATTTAACATTGTTTGAGAATATATAGAAAAGAAAATTTTAGAAAACAAGAAATAAAAGAAACGAAATTAAATTTTAAATACAGAGTCCATTCTGGAAAAACGCGAATGCAAAAAGCTGTAATTGCCATCTGATTGTAAACCAACTGCAAACATATATATATATATATATATATATATATATATATATATATATATATTCGTAGATCGCAACTTCGTGTGTTTCTAGAATGTAACGCGTAATTACTTCAGTTTCCGTGCAATGACGTAATCTAATTCGTATCGGTAATACTGTGACAATAACGGAAATTGAAATTGAAGTTTAACATTGAAATTCGCTAAAACATTGATTGACAAAAGAACATATAGAGAAAAAGAAATCAATGTATAAATAATCGCATTATAACAGATTTTAACATTATTTTCTCATTTTCTCGGCTAAATTTCAAAATTCAATGAATGACAAACTTTTTTTTTCTAGAACTCCTATTGACAATTTTTGTATTCTTCATGTCCAGCTATGTTCACATGAATATAGAAAATAATTGAGTTTCTTGATATTTATTGATGAAAAATGTCAAATTTAAATATTTATTTTCATGATTTATTGAATATTTCTTTTTTTCTAATTAATCATGAAATTTTTTTAACAGTTATATAAAAAGTACGATGATTCATTGAAAGATTGAAAATTTAATGAATTTTGTTTTTTTGGAATTGAAATATACAGTAATGCTTCCATAATGATAGTGTGATGATCCTTGAGAGGATTTCCATTTCTTAAAGATAATTTAATACAATCACTTCGGGACTAGATCATTTATCTAAGTCTATATGGTATATAATTTCACGTTAAAATCATTACTAAATTTTATAATCTCAAGAAGAATTCGTTTTATCTTTTCGCTGAAGGAACAAATTCTTTTTTTAAAATAGTATCGATTACTTGACTATTATTCCAGTATTTTATTATTATTAATATTAATAATTGAATTTCGTAAGATTACAGACAATTTATTTACCAGTTTCTGATTATTCGAATATTTTATTTACGAGGCTCTGGTTTGGTGGAATACTATTTAAAGAAATTTTCATTTAACAGAATTCATATTTAACCAAAGTTTCATAAAAGAAGTGTCTAATAATTTCAAAAGTTGTGGATTTAAATGCAAAAAGCTTCTTGTAAATAATTATTAACAAGAATATAGTTTTCTGGAACGTATCAAATTAATATCAAATTGTTACGAAATTGGATCAAACTGATACGACAGTAGATTAAATTAATATCAAATTTAATTCAATTTTTGGTATCAATTTGTTAAAATATGGCATTGTTATCATTTGGATCCAGAAGCAAAAAGAATAATAACAGTCAAGTAATTAATTTTTGTAAAGAAAAATTTGTTTGTTCAGCATTTACATAAATAGCCTCCTCTCAAAAACATTGAATTCTAATACGGATTGTACTCACACAGCTGGTTCATAGCTGAAAACTACAAAAAATGATCGAATCTAGAGTTCTACTTTACGCCTATCGACCGCCTCCTGATAGGCATTATTAGTCATTGAATTTTGAAATTCGGCCCCCTTATATCATGATTTTCGGCTGCAATTTGATTCGCGAATGTACTTTGCCCATGTTCTGTTTGGCGTTTGATCGCCTTTACGTAAAAATGGTTTGCGATCAGTTGAACTGCGATTTTGTTCCATTATAATACGATAAGTCTCTGGATCGTACGAACAGGATAGACTCTTGCGTAATTTTGCCGCGTTGGCAGCAAAATACGCTGGTTGACTGCCAACGAGAATATTGCGATCATTCTTTGTGTCAATTGACCAATCCCACATGTCGACAATCGAGCAATTGCAGACAAATGGATTGTTCATTAAATTAATTGACAATAATCGGGAATTTTCTTCGAATACCTTTGAATCTATTGTGGTAATATTATTACTACTTAGATCCAAATGTTCAAGGTTACTCAGTGCCTTGAGACCGATGAGATTGTCTGGTCCTTTAATATTGTTGCCGGATAAATTCAAAAGCGTTAAATTTTTTGTCTGTAGAAATACGTTTTTGTGAAGATTTTCTAATTTACAGTTGCTTAGATCGAGAATTTCGAGACCTGATAGTTGTTTTGGTAGTAGGGGACCATTTTCGGGTATTACTAATGGATTCCCACCGAGTTTTAATTCAATAATATGAATATAGTCACGATGTCCAAATACCGTGGGATCGACTGGATTTTTAAGGTCACAATTTCTTAATTCCAATGACTCCAGTCGTGTGAGGTTCGCGAAGAGACCCTGCTCCAATGTGTGTAGACGATTTCCCGAGAGTATTAGTTTCTTGAGAGAAGTTGTCTGGGCAAATGTTTTGTTACCCACAAGTCCGAGATTACAATAGGACATGTCAAGAAACTCGAGTGACTTGAGAGGATTAAGTCGAACAAAAGCGTCGGACAGTGGATTGTGAGAGACGTCAAGTTCCTCCAAATGTTCAAGAACATCAAATGCATTTGGTAATTGTTTCAAATTGCAATTACTCAATGAGAGTTTATGTAATGTTGGCAAATTACGTAATACTTCGGTCAAATTACCAGCGAATGCTGGATTACCATTGATATTTAAGACTCGTAATTTACTTGCATTTTGAAATGCCTCATCTGCCAGCTGATCTTGTAGATGACAGTTGGATAGATCCAAGGATTGAAGACTGTGAAGATTGTGACCCAATGTGTTGCTGACATCCAAGTGTGTTAATTCATTGTCGGCCAATATTAAGTTTCGTAGATATAAATTCTTGGCGAAAGCATCGCCCGGTAGGTTTGTTATTCCTGTATTTCGAATATCCAAATGCTCCAAGCGTACCAATGGGGACAATACACTTCTCCAGCTGAGAATTTTAAGATCATTGTCAGCCATTTCGAGTTCACGCAGGTTCTCCAATTGTTGAAATGCATCTGGTGAGATGTAAGTCAAGTTACAGGCGTTTAATTTTAAATATTCGAGATTTGTCAGATGATCGAAGGGTCCTGGTTCGATTCTTTTGAGGGGATTATTTGAAAGATCAAGTTTATTCAGGTTTGTCGTATTGTGAAAGAATCGATCGTTCAATCGATGAATTCCACAATTGTTGAGATCCAGGTACAATAGTGTTCGACAATTTAAAAAGTTGCCCTTCACTTCCGCCAGAGGGTTGTGCTGAAGCTCGAGTGTGATCAGTCCCGGACTGTCTCTGTGAAATCAAAAAGAAATTTTAATTTTAAATTCAAATATTCTTGCTTGAGAAAGAAACAAAAACGATTAGTTCTCTAGTTGTTCGATTAATCATAGTTAATTACACCTTTTTTTGTAGAAATAAAATCGCTCTTTAGTAACATTTGAATTTTAGTCAATTCACTATTATGTAGAAATTCTGTTGAATTTTGTTAAATTAAAGATAAGTGCAAACTTAAGGAATTACCTGAAAGCTTCTGGATCTATGATTTTGATTTGATTGTAGGAAATGTCGGCGTCCAAAAGATAGGCCAATCCGGCAAAAGAGTCGTATGCGAGTTGGGTGAGTAGATTGTGAGCCATTTGTAGTCTTCTGAGTTTGATGTCCTGGGGAAATGGATCCACATGAGCGATGTTATTACCGTTCATGTCTAAGATATAAACATTCGGACTGAGCTCGTCATAGGGGATGCTGGTGAGATTGCTCTCGGAGCAATCTGTCACCCAGTTGATGCGAAAATAGTGACAGTGACAGTCAACCGGGCACTCTTGTTCCACAAGTTCACCATTTAATGCATATCCAAGACCAAAAACGGTGGCCGTTATAAACAATAATAACACAGGCCTCGGCATCACTGCGTTGCCGAATTGATTTCTGAAAAGAAAAATTATGATTGATCGATTAGGATAAAATTTATTATCAGAACTGGAAGAAAGAACCTCATTTATTTCTTCGATATCGAGAATAGAAATGGATTCTTTATAATAGAAACGAATTGTCGTGGTTTATTGATGCTTTTTTAACATGAGAACATTTTTCATTTTAGGGAAGAAATATTGTATCTGTATTTTTTGAGGCGGTATTTAAAAAAAATTGTTCCTTTTTTTTATTAAAACCTGTTCCTGGATAGTAAATTAGATAAACATACGCTTCAAGAACTTTTATGGCAAAGAGTGTCGTAAAAAGTGATACTCTGTGGCTTTATGCAGAAAATTAATGTTCTTTACAATAATCGCCTTGGTAATATTCTCTTGCTAACTGTCGTAAAATGTAATTCTTGTGGATGAATCACAGTCACTTGTTTTACGGTTAGAATAAAATATTTTTGAAAGCTTCCTCTTTTTCTTTCCACTTTTATTTTTTCAATTTATATCTCGCATCGGGGGATTTTATTTATTTTGTTTTTTTTTCCGCGGAATAATTTACATCGCGTGTTTGTTAATTGATTTTTCAATAATTATTGTAAGTTGAAGTTGAAATCAAATTCTGATATAATATATAAATGAAGATAAATGAAAAATTGGATTTAATTATTATCTTGTCTTTGCATGTTGGAGGAATTAATTAGTATTCTGATTACGAATCGTGTGAATTGTGTTCGCAGTACAAAACAAAGTCGTATTAAGCCCTCGCAACACTTGTCTACAACAATTAAAGCAACTTATAAAATAAATGACAGAGAGTATTATCCTAGCTACGGCTAATGCAGTTAAGCGAGTGCCTGCTGTTTTCGGATTATAACATTTTGTAATGCAATATAGCATCAAGCCTGTGTTTACGCCTGGTGCATCTAAATAGATTACACTACGTTCAATTCCAACCTAAAACCAGTAATTAAGTTCGTATAAATAAGAACTGGGCTCTCTGTATCGATCTAAGATGTACAAATTTACGCTCTAATAATTATTTCAATTTCATTCCAAAATAGGGGGTATGGCAATAAATTTGTGTGCTTTGTTTGAGACAACTTCTTTTAAAAATAAAAAGAAAATATTGACAGAACTTTGCAATTTCGAAAAAAGTGTGAATAATAAATTTTCTTGATTGCTAAAAAGTGTGGCAATTGTATAATAAATGTTATTGTTTCGTTTATATACTTTGGAAAATAACTCCCTTTAAAGTACTTAAACGACTTGATTCTCATTGCCGTTAAAAATAAGCTTTCGTTTAATTAGCAACTGAATAAGTTCGTATACACTCGAGACTGAAAATTTGAATCTTAAAGTCATTTTCTACGAGCCAGAAGGGAAAATGATTATTTGTCACGCCCCCTTTCTTTATGTGATGGAAATGAGATCAGAAATTCTTAATCCCTTAGGATTTCTCCTTCTTTTTCTCTCTCTCTCTCTCTCTCTCTCTCTCTCTATTTACCAGGGGAATCTCTATCTTTTTTTCATTTTAAGTACCTTTGAAGGTTTTCAATCTTAATATTTTACATAAGTGAGCATCGAGTTGGTTGCTCGTTTCAATTAGACTCTGAAAGAAAGATAAAAGAAAGCGCCCGACATGAAAAATGAAATTCAGTTATGAGTTAATTTTGCTACTTGATCCTTCAACTTTTTCTATTTGTTTATATTCGTCTTCTTATTGCTTTCTCTCTTAAAGGGGACACAATTGTAAAAGCAATTGTTTTATTTATTTATCTTTTGTCTACTTTCTTTAACGCAAATCAAAATAGGGAAGAAAGTGTCTCTTTAAATCTAATGTAATTTATCGCTTTATGATATAGAATCGAGTATAAAAACTCTTGGGGGATAAAATGCAACGAAGCAGATGCTGACACGTATATCAAAGGCGTGAAATGCATTTTTATGATCGTCGATAATTTACTGCTGAAAGAATATTAATGAACATTCCATACATCGTTTCAATCCCACTCTCAAAGAAAAAGGGGGAGGGATAGTAAAGAAAGACATCTTTATTAATTGACCACGACTTTATTTGAAATAAATAAAAAAAATAAAAGTAAAAAATATTCGTGATATTAAGAATACTAATCGTTTAATCGTCTCCCTCCGCATATTTCGTCTTCGCTTCATAAAAATTTCAAACCAACTTGCGGATAAATGTACCGCTTACTTATTTAACACCCACTTTCCCGCGTTCCGATGGTACTCTTAAGAGGCTCATCTTTCGAATAACGTGTCTAAAATGTAATGCGAGCTTTAGAGTAGGTGGGAAAATATATGGATAGGAAATGGAAACGATAAATGAAAGATGGATAGATATCAGACACTGTATAAATTTTTTTTCGGGGAAATAATGTCAGTTGAAATGAATGGGTGATGTTTTTATCTTCTAGTTGTCAAAGTGTTTAATGAAATGAGCATAAGATGGAGACTTTAAGTTGCAGTAGCATAATGACCCAGAATTTGAGTGTGCAAGCACTGAAAAGTTACGAACCGCCAATTGCGATGGCAATTGTCCACTAGAAAATTGGTTCACTTGTGTCTAACCATTAATGATGGTCGGTTTTATCTCTCCAAGCATATATAGAATTGGTATAGATAATGTGCGCAGTAGGGTCGACAATCGTACAAAGTTATTAGAGATCACAAACTTAAATTCAAATCTCTTCCTCTATCTTATTCTAATCGTTTTTCCCTCTTGCACCCATATAGTCATCTTCATTCGCAATTATTTTCCATCCTCGTCAAGTCTCTTTGTCTACAAAGGAATTTGTTATTCAAACCAAGCTGCAACGAATGCTTTGGGGGCTTTGCGTCTGCTTTACTTCCCGACATCGTACCTGGCGAGCCGCTTTGCAATTCGATGAGCGGCAGACTTGGCCGCGTTAAACGAAAAATCGAAACAAAAATAGAGAAATGCTGCACTCGGAAACGCAAGAGTATCCCGAATGAGATTATTGTAATGATCGCGAGGTAGTCCTTGCTGTGCCAGTGAAAAGACTCTGAATTGTCTCGACCTGTATTCATTATTTCCTAATGTCATTTTACCTCCGTTGAAGATCCTTTTTCTTTTTGTCTTGCGGCTTCTTTCTTCTCCAGAAAATTATTTTTCTTTAGCGTTTGAATTTAATTTTTAATCATATATTTTCATTATATCCGTTTTATTCAACGTATTTTCCTTTTTTTTCATGAAAAATTGATAGCTACATTTTTATATCAAGTTTTGGAAATGTAGAAAAAGTTTGGAGAAAATTGAATCTAAAATCCAGGATAGAAGTAGAAAATACACCACTGACAAATGTAACATCTCGTTTCATCTTTGCTCAATGTATTAAGGAAGGATTTTTCCGAAAGAAACAACGGCTGATAGGATCTGCCGTCAGTTTGGATGTTTACATGGTCGTAAGAAGAGAGAGAGAGTCGAGGGGGGCACTCCCTTGAGGAAAAAAGAAGTCGTGATGGAGACATTGAGAGAACCTAGTTGATCTCTCACATGATTCTTTGGATGTGTATAGGCGTGAGGAAAATCGTGAGAGTATTCGGCATTCTGGACCGTCAAGTATATAAGGGTTCGTTGGACACACATATACATTCTCTTGACTTTTATCAGACGAAGAATGCGCGCGTTCAGTATGAAAAAAGGGAGGGTTTAGGAAATGAAAGAATCGAGTCATAGACACTTGGGAAAAACAAAGGGAGCTTTCTCTCGATTTCCATAATCCAGCGGTCCGTAGTGTCGTCGTCGTAACGTTGGCGACAGAAACGAATATCAAATGCACCAGGCTGACGACTAAAGCTCTACCCCTTCACGCGACTTTATATACACAGACACACGATTCTTCCCATTCGAATAGTTTTTAGGTGTCTTTGAATAACGGCTTCCGCCGGAGATCGTAAGTTATAAAGGAAAATGACTCATAGTCTCCAAGACATACGGAGATACAATCCGCAATTTGCTTCTTTCTTCTCCACTCCTACTCGAGACACAAAATATCATGCTACATTTTTCTTTCGAAATTTCATTCAAGAAACAAGCGTTAAATTTTATACCAATTCCATTTGAAGAATTCGTGAAAGAGGGGAAAAATATCCGTAAATCAGAATATATGTATGTATCAAACGAAGAAATTTGTCTCACAAGTGCTTTGTTGAAATAATCTTCTACGATAACGTCCCATGATAACCTTATCATATTCTAAAAGGTTGTAATCTGGGTAATTGAATTTTCATCTTTTGCCACAAATGGGCTTTGAACTGTTGTAGAGAAAATTGTAATCTACTGTATTTAACTTGTAAAATGTAGATTTGGGCATGTAGAATTTAGATTGAAGATTGTTACTTTTCTAAATACCTTTCTTAACAGAAACACGAATCGTTAAATAAATTTTGAGATTATTAAATATCTTGATATTTAATTTAAGCATAATAGATCATAGATCATAGATGATGAGATAAATACTTGGTTTGCGTGTACGGTAGATAAATTCCAACATGTAAAATGAAACTTTTAGATGATAGATTTTGGTTTGTAGACAGTAAAAACTGGATTACAAATGGTACTACAAATTGTGGCATGTAAAACAATGACATTCAATTCTAAATATATGTAACATGAAGGTTACTGATGGTACTAGTAAAATTGCATTTAGGATACTATGTCGTATAAAATCTCTCTCATCTTGAGTAAAACAGGTGGTTCTAAGCTGTATTGCACATAAACTGAAAATTAAAGATGATTCTAAGTAATTTCATAAGAATTATAAAGATGGTATTGTTGAGGGTGTCATGTACTTTCTGCATTAGGTTCTATCGTTGCCAAACATTTTGCATACAATATCTAATCGAAAGGTATCACCAACCGCAATTTGAATCACACAACAATTCACGAATAATCTAAATTGAAAATTGAACATCGTACAAATTCAGAAATTATTCTTTCGCTCACTTATAGATTGATTTTCCTCAGACAAAATGATGTTTCGTGAACAAAAGTCAACCAAATCATAAATTGAAAATGGAATTGAGATTGAATATTATAGGATAAAACGAGATAATATCTGCGGAAAATGGTGGTTCGTAGATCAAAAAGCGATGAGGTCAAACAAGAGATGACATGTTGCCACACTCGTTGAACATTATTATTAGAAGAAGAAGAAGAAGAAGAAGAAGAAGAAGAAGAGGAGGAAAAGAAAATAGGAAAGGCGAGATTTTCTTGTGGAGCTACTTCAGTTTCCTTTGTGAGCATCAAACAAACATTAAAGTGGTCTTAAACGGATCATTGGCCAGGGGAATTGGTGACATCCACAATCTACTTGTCTGACGCGATTGCCGATGTGTCCACCCTGCTGCTAAAATGCGTCACATGTTTGCTCTCGTCCTCCCTCAAAAGAGCTGCTTGTTGGATAGGATCGTAAATCCAAGAGGGGTTACGCGAATCACAAAATCACGTTATCGTTGAGTAGAGGGCAGTCATTCGTATATGGCGAGAAAATAAAACAGAAACTGACAACTATAAACAGAAGCGTTGAGGATACTAATTAGAAATACATACATAATTCAGATTCTCTTCTATTTTCCCCCCACACGAGCTTTACTAATTGCTCATTAAAATTAGAACCGTGGTCATGGTAATATTTTTCGTTTTTTCATTTGCAATTATCAATTCTATTTTTGAATAAACTCTATATGCCTGTTAGACTTGTAAATGGAATTCAAATTGCTTAAAGAATATTCGGAGGGAGAAAATGAAGTAGAGGAACAAGTTGGAAAAATTTGTTGGAAAAATACGAGGAGAGAGAGAGAGAGAGATTTTTGCTTGAAGGAGTTGAGAGGAAAAGGATTTTTGACAGCAGAAGAAAAGAGACAAACTAGCCAGATGCCACCCCATCTTTACGCTCGACTGACCCCTTAACTCCTACGAGTCGCGTTTGCCTTTGGCATCGACTATTGCTACTTCACTCACTGCAAAAGCATAGAATAAAGAATAAAGAGAGAAAGTACACATATTCTTGAAGATTTCTTATTGTATTTTCCCCGACTGTCGCTTGGCGCCGTTTTCATTTTGTATCCTCCATAAACTCATCTCAAATGGTAATTTGCATACTCTGTTTATATACGAGTACCTACTATTTTGTTCATCATTGTAGGTAAAAATTTCCATTTCATTTCTCAAGAATTTATTGGTTAGCAAATCAAAAAATTGTGGTTTCTTATTTTTACTAGAAAAAAAATTGTTTGATATTTTCCCCCTTATTTTATCGTGAAAATGTTGGTCAGTGAAATAATCGCCCAAAGCGGCCGAGGCGCTTCGTAAAGCACGCCTGAGAGGGCATCTTGCACAATTTCCTTCTGAAAATAGGGTTGCTGTAGCGCACAAATGGGAAACTGTAAATTCGTTTTACTAACGGAGAGGCTTATAAACGACAAAAGGAGACTTCTGTTTATAAGAATAGAGGATTTTTGATGGTTTATGCGTATTTACGCTTAAGCAGATCCGTCGAAAATAATCTCTTTCTCTTGACGAAACAAAGTAAATTGTTTGTTTACTAATAATGTAAATAAAAGTTTTTAACAATTTTTACCGTATGTTTACAACAGTTTACGAAAAATGGAAATTCTTTCTGAAAGTTAGTAAAAAAATAATAGAACTGTTATATGCGAATGGTTATTTTCTTTACAATTGTTTACTATTTGGAATATTCTACATTGTAATTGTTTTTCTTTTGCAGACGGAAACAATCGAGTGAGTTTAGAACACGGAAAATAATCATCAATAATCTTGGACTCTCGTGACAATGTTGGAATTTCACATCGTGGAGGGTGGTATCCACATTAGAAAGCGGAAGATGAATGTGAAAAGGATTCGAGGCAGAATGAAAAGCAGCTTTATCACCACAATCCAATGACGTTCCATGTTGGGTTCATTTTCCTGAAAATCAACTTTGGAAGGGGTGAGTACCATTGAATATGTGAAAAAAAAATTAAAAACATTAATTTCAGTAAAATAAGAAATTATCAAAGAAATTTTGAAGGGAGGCTTAGAATTCCGGCAAAAATTTATCTCTGTCGAGCAGTGTTTATTTCGGACAAATGAAAGTTTTAATAAATAGTAGGATTTCAAGTTTTTAAGGAAATCCTCTTCCAAACAAAAATTTATAGGACGTAGTTGAAGTAATTAGAATTTCTCTTGTTTTATTAAAAAAAATGTTAAATACCTTTAGTTCAATTAAAAAGAAAGTAAAAAGAATTCGGTGGAATAATTTTTTTCGCATCTGAAAAATTTTTACGAAAAAATACTTCTAAATTTTTTTTTTCTTTAAATTACATGAGGAATTTTTTCGTGAAATCTTCCATGAAAATTCCGCACGTCGGTTGAGGATGGCTGGGAAATCTCTACCGCAAAAATAGTCATATATCATAAATTTCAAATGTTTTTTTGAAATGATTCGCATATATAAAAAGAGAGTGATGCTTCATACGAGTCACCCCATGACAGAAAATAGAGAAAGAGAGAGGAAAAAAAGTATAACGTCACTCGACGTCAGAAAGGCATCAAGCTGAGAGTCCGACGCGACGGAAAAGTGCCGAGAAGCCTCAAGTGAAACGTCGTAAACTTTTTTTTCTCAGCTAAAGGGGGTAAAGGGAAGAAGTTTCTCTCGGGCTCTTCCACAGGACAACAATAATGTTAGATGTATATAATATGTGTGCACGTGTGTATGTGAGAGAGTGGAAACACGAAATGTTGTCTAGGGGGTGGATATCAAGGGCTAGAAGCCAGCTAGAAGCCAGCTAGACACTAAAAGAAGTTGAAGACATTCGTCAAATGGACATTCGTTCGATTCATATATATATTTTCCAAACCATCTTTCAACTTGTTCTCTATCTTCTTCTTTTTTTTGCACTTTTCTTATTCCTTGTTCCCCTTTTTCTCGCCCTCTCATAGGAAAAGTTCCATCCCTTTTTTTTCTTTGAGCGATATTAGGTTCAACGAGCGTTCCAACCTTCCACGAGAGCGAGTTTCTTTTCTTCTGTCAAAAAAGAAAAAAAAAAAGAAATAAAGAAAGAACGTTGCTCCAAGTCTGTTAGCTTTTACTGTCGTTGTCGTTCGTTCAACAAATATTTGCTTATGAATTACGTGAACTGCTAATGGACGCATCTAACGTGTACAAGGTATATATTTATACACTAAACTAATACTCTATACACTTGAAAATATTCACTGTTACTGATAAAATGATGAAGAGATTATCGATAGCTCTTTTTGAATATCAAGGGATATAAATTGTATTTTCATATGTTTATGTATGGATGGTACTTGGGGAAAATGTGACAGAAATGAAAATAGTACACCGCGATGATTGTGCCTGACTAGTTTTATCGTTGAATTTTGCTGACTAAATATAAATTGCTTTTTCAAGGGCGCTTGTTATTTTTTTCGCTTTTTTAAACTCTCCCCCTACTCTTTTGTGTACTTGATGCAACAAGAGGGAGACTCGTGTTATTTTTCGAGAACGGTGCAAAGCTCTTACGATTATTTACCACTCAAATGTCTCATTCAGCCGGGCGAAATTGTTATTTACGAGTTTAATGCCAACGTATTTTCATATATTTATTATTTAAATCACAGTTTTTGGATTTATCTTTTTGTTCACATTGTTCACATTTTTCAATTTTTGAGGATTTTATACCCTTTTTTTAATTTCTAATTTTTAATTTTCCAATATTATAGATATTATATTATATTACATTCTCATTTTTTATTATTTTTATCAAAATTTCACAAAATTTCCATTTGTTCCAACATGTTGAAAAGAATTGAATAAAAATTTGTTGCTATAAAAGTAATAGTTAATTATTACGGTTATTTTAATAATAATTCTATCAAATACATTTTTCTTAATTACAAAATATCTTATTTACAAAATTTTGCTAAAAAAAAGTTCTTTTAAATAAAAATTTGTTCAAATAAACTTATGACAATTTTTTTAAAAAATTTTCTGTTAAGTTTGATATTTTTTGTAAAATTTTTTTATCATCTTTATTATCAGCAACGTTTATAAAGCGCTTATCAATTAAAACGTTGCTGTTAATTGGAAAACTTGAGAACTTTTGTAAAAGGGGTACATGCTCGCTATCTCGAGATAAACTTCGCACGCGATATTTTTCAAAAAAAAGCCATATACGTGCAAACTTGTATAAATAATTCTTTTTTTACTTGCATAAACGAAAAATTATTTTCAAAATATGGGAAACATAAATTAAAGTAGGATGAAGAAAATTTTGTTATAAAATTCAATTTATTTTAAACAATCATATTTTATTTCCTCAAAATAAGAGTAAAATATTAATTTTTATGTTTTTTTAACATAATAACTAATTAATTACTATTTTTTCACTTTGAATGTTTTATAAAACTGGATTTTTAAAAAAATTTATTTTCATTATTTTCAGAAACATGTTATTATTTATCGATAATTAAATGGAATTTTAGTGGTGTTTTAATTGAAATTGCAAATATTTCTCTTGTATTAAAATGAAAATATTGGAATAATATTTATTATTTATTTTTCTTTCTTTCATTATTTGTTATTTATTTTTCGATTCTTTATGAAACATGAAGTTATATCAGTTTGGAATGCGTGGTTTGTTAAATAAAGCGCAGCTATGCGAAAGTTATCGAATAGCATTCATTCCTTTCTTATTCGCAGGAGTAGTAACAGACTCGAGTTTATCTTTTGCTAAAGGGAGCAGAAAGCTCTTGCAGTTAATTTCGAAACTTTGTAATTTACAGATTGGCATTTTCCCTGATATTAATTAAGAGTATATACATTTTGCAATTAAGTAGTGCGCTCTCTTCTGTGCCTTTTCAAGTAGATCTATTTTCAGATATCTTATTATTGTCTATTAAATGTAATTTTAGTGGTGTTTTAAATAAACAAGTAAAAATAAAGCAATCATAGAAATATCATTTTAAAATGGAGTTATTAGGAATTTATATTTCATTACAGGTGCTCTGCACTTGACCTTAATTTTCATTTTTATTGTCGCTAATAGTACAAAAAAAATTTCAACTCCAAAATAAATTTTCTTTGATTCAATAAAAATCGTTTAGTCGATTTTTATCAAATATTTATTTGTGCTCTTTACTCGTCATTAATTAATTTATTGCATAGCAAATTCATGTTAAAATTATTTTTTGAATCTTTTATTTCCATTTATCTCAAGTGTTTAAATGCTGAAAAGGAAGCAGATTGACAAAAGCCAGTGTTATGTAAACGTACCTGACCTCTGCAATTTATTTATTTATAGAATGAATTATCACATTTTTGATGTGTAAAAAATGGAAAAAAATTTCTTTACGGAGAAAACAGTACTTTTTTTTAATATAGAATTCTAAAAAATATAAAAAATTAATATGGATTTTAGTTGAGTTTTTCATAAAGCGAAATCCAAATTGAACGTGTCGCATTATGCAACCTTATGAAATTTAAATAGATCATAAAGTGTGCAATCAAGTGCCACAAAGTGTCATATCCAAAGGATGCTTTATTAATTTTATTCATGACGAACAAGCCTTGTAAGATATTCAAAAGTTAAAGTCAAAAAAAGTATAATAAATTTTTGAGATTCATGTATACAATATGAAGAATGGTAGTAATTAAAAATGAACCTTTACAAATGCATTAATTATATTAATAATGTCATTCTTTGAGAGGTGCACTTCAATTAGAGCAATGAATGTATAAGGATGAGTTTTTTCATATCGCGTCTTGTTGTATCTCTACCAAACAGGTGGTAAGGTCATTATCCGATGCGAGGATGCTGTGGGTTATACTTTTGCTCAATTGAATTATCTGTGTTTCAATTTATAAAGATATTTTCTTATATAGAAAGAAAGGGAAAGTAGCGCGGAGGGTTCGTTATATTATTGCAGTAGTGGAGACAATGAGAAGGGTCCTCTCAAAACGCGCAAGGAAATACAGTCACTAGGCAGTACTCGATCTTAATGAGAGGGCGGTGCAGCACAATCAGATTAGGGTAGACAGAAATGATTTATGATTTACAAAAAAATCCACTGAAAAAAATATTTTTTGTCCTACCTGCACGGAAAGTATGTCATTTCGGGCACTTAAGGCGGGCGCAAAGTAACACATTACGCCCGGGAGTGGGGGAAGCGGGCGGAAAAGTATTTTGCGCCCGCTTGTATGACGTCAGCGGGCGGTAAAGTATTTTCCGCCCGCTTCGCCTACCTCCGAGCGGGCGGAAAATACTTTACCGCCCGCTTGTTAATTATTCGATTTTCTTCATTAAAATGCGACATTTTCGACTTTCTTTTTGTGTTGACTATAAAACTGCAAACATTTTCAACTTGTTTTATTTTGTCTATAAAAATTTGCAATTTTTTTTTATTTTCTCTAAAAAAATAATGAGACATTTGGTTTTGTTCCCATTTCGTTTATCAAAATTGTCAATTTTAAAAGTTCTTGTTTCAGTTTTGTTTAATTATTAATTACTACGTTCTAAATAAATACTATGTTTCCAGAATACATTGTTTTTTATTTCTATTTTAAAACTTCTATCATTATAGACTTCATTCGATATATTGTTTATATAGAGCTTAATTTTTAACTAATATGAGCGTTTAATCGTGCGTGCCCTCTATGCCATACTTTCCATGCAGTTAGGATAAAAAATTATGTTCGCATCATGGGCGCAAAGGTGATTACGACTTTGGCGAAATTTCGGGACCTCGGGGACACTTTCGCTCCCTCGGCTTCGCCTCGGGCGCGAAATTGTGTCCCCTCGCTCCCTTCATTTCGCCATCGTCGCAATCACCTATTTTGCGCCCTTGTTACGAAAATAACTATTATATATAAACTTACTTTCATCTTCTATCAAAATTAAGATAGAGTAATTAACTGCGGCACAATTGGAAACTTAATAAAATATTTTTATTATAGTATTTAATTAATTATTTTTATAATAGCAAATACCATTTATTCTAACTTGGGGACAACTTTGGGTTTGAATTTGAAATCATTTTAATTTGAACTTAATTTAATTCAGAACTTTAGGAACCACGGTAAATCGTTAGGTGTTAAAATAACACCAAAATGGATTATTTTAATCCTTTTTGGTGTTATTTTAACACTTAACGATTTACCGTGACGATGATAGGCAGTTTAAGAGAAAAATGGGCGACAAAATTAACATTAGGGACCTAATATCATATGCATATTGGTCACATAGTAAACCTAATAATGTTTCGAACTTAACTACTGGGAAATGGAGCGTAGAGTTATAGAGGTTGACGCCAGAGAAGGAAACTTAGTGATTGTATCAAGTTAGTGTGATTTGATTAAAGGTAATTAACATTAACAGTAGTTGGCAGCCATGGTAACCACCATAATTTATTACTCCATTGATTTCTATATTTCTATTATTATTGCTTTTACTATAAATCTTTACAATTTTTATAATTTTTATAACACTTTTAACTAATACCATTTTATAATTTCCATTAAGGATTAGACTAAAATATATTTTTTTGTGACGTCCAATACAAAACGAAACTTAATATTATTGTAATAATGGATTTATAAATCTGTTCAAATTTAGATAATAAACTTTTATTATCCACTATTGCTACTATGGTATTAGTTTAAAACAGTACAAACTGGATTACAGATTATAAGCGGTATAATCCAGTCAAATGTTTACAATGATCTATTTTTGTTAAATTAATTTATCTGGTGCTTAATGGTATAACTGTTTGTTTCTGTTGTTTGTAACAATCGTCAATGTTGATTGTTCTGAAGCAAATAGTATATTACGATACTAGGCCAGAAAGTTGGATTTCCTGGCCGGCGTGATATATAAGGCCGAGGCGAAGCCGAGGCTTTATATATCACGCTCGCTAGGGTATCCAAATTTCTGGCCGTGTGTCGTATACAATTTTTCTGTATCCCCAGCCGAAAGTACGTTAAATAATTATTGTTTGAATAATAAAATAGCTCAATAAGTTGCCCGCCCGACTTTTGCAAAGTCGAGGCGAAGCCGAGACTTAGCTGGTCGGGGCGGGCATGAAAAAAATTATAAGTAAAATTTAAAAAATAGTAAACAAGAAATTTTCTTTTACAAATAAATATTTAATAATATACAAAATATAATAATAATAAATAAAAGAAAATAAGAAATTTCATGCATTATTTTGATGACTGTCAGTTGTTTTCAAAACGTGAGCTCTGTAAGTAACGTGTCTGTGTGGTTGCTATGCTAACATGTACGTGTGTTGAAATTCTTGTAACCAATCAGAGCGCTCGTTGGGTCTGTCGAGCCGGCCACAAAAGTCGCTATTCCCGGAGCCAAATCAGACCGGGAAGACAGTACTTTCGGCAAAGGGATACAGAAAATTCATTTGATATAAATAACGGTAGACTTGGCTATTGCTAAAAAAATATTCGTATAATTTTTATTTAAATCAATTAAATAGTGTTTGTTTCAAATAGGTATAAAAGTGATAGCAGTAGCAACTAGTAGGTATAATAACTAGCAAATTTAACTTTCATTGCAACTGTGTTTTATTTATCATATTTATACTATTTTATACTACAATCACTAATACTAAACACTAATAAATTAGTAATTTTAATAATAATTAAATAAATGATACCGTGCTATTTATATACAGAATTTACTCGGTTCTCTTTTTTTCACAAGAAAAACAAAAACAATTTTGTTTCTCATTAAGGAAATAAGTTTCTCGTACTGTGTTGTGGTCTTGATGGGGGAGTTTCGGTATTCCCTGAACAATGCGAGTTTCTGTTCTTTTAACAAATTGACAAATGAACGAAAAAAGAAAACGAGAAGTAATTAGCATGTTTCGTGCACGGCGAATACTTTGAAAAGAAATCTAAAAATGTATAGCGTGTGTGCGTTGTCGCGTGAAAGGGAAAGTATAAAACGGTGTAGATAGGATTGATATACCGTCTCATTGTCGTATATATACTCGAGTGGCTTTATGTTAATATCATCGGACACATTATTTCCATGACTCGTTATACGACGGGATCTAATTACGTGTTTGATTCACGACCCCCGATGAACGATAGAGTAGATTTAAAGGCTCCTCCTATAATCCCCACTTTAAAAAAAAAAGAAAAAAATTTAAAGGAACCTCTCATTTATTTTTACAAAAGTTTCTGAATGCAGAGAGAGGAATCTCATTATTTCTTAAATGTCATTTATTTGAGTCATTGTTCTTGTGTGGTAATTGACTTTTTTTACGTCTTGTCATTTATCATTCTATATATATTTTTCTTTTTTTAATGAACAATACGAAGAAAACACGTAAATGTTAATATATATGGAAGCAACAAGTTTTTGTTTGTTTTGAATAAACAGTTTATTGTTCTCGTAACAATTTTGATTTGTCTCCTAATAATAACACAATGTTTGCATTGTAGTGACAACAAACTGATTTATATGAGGAAGAACAAATAAAATATGTTGATTCTGTATTAACAATTGTATCAATTACTGAGAAGTGAAATAAAAAGTCGGTTGTAAAATAATAACAAAAGATGTTAATTTAAAAAATATTAAATGTTATAAAAATTTATTTTTGTAATTAAAAACATATGTTTAGAATAGAATTAAGATTCGATTAAGATTGATAGTATTCCTATTTTAAAATATTGCTTTTTTAAAAAATTTATATCATTTATAAATTTTTAACACACTGATATTTTAAGCGTAAAAGAAATGAAATTGCAGAAAAAAATATTGAATTCAGTTAAGTTTGAAATATACATTACTGTGCTTAAAATAAATTCTTTTTCAAAAAATACTTCTATTTTGAAAGACTGAGAAGTGCACTAAATTTAAGGTTAAATTTTCATTTTGAAATATTTTTAAAATAGTTACTTTGATTTAATTTCGAATTCAAGAATAAGATTACATAAATACGATATTAAATTAAAATTTGCTTCTCTAAATTAAATTATCGCTTTTGACAGTAAGGTATAAAAAGATTACATACCGATTTATGTTAAATCCTTTTTTTATGAAAACGGTTAAAATTTGTCAATAGAAAAAAAATGTGAACTTAACGTGCCACTTGATCACGACTGATTGAAATAATGTTAAATTATACCGCGTCTGACCGAGGTCAGGGTAAATCTACTGGACGTGTGCTCGCTCTTAGCTCTTTCTGCGTCGTTTTAGTTTAAGTGAAGATTGTTTCTCCTTCTCTGTTATAATGTAGTGTCATCAAAATTATTACCGTAGCCGAAAGGGGGGAGAAAAACTTCTCGGTTTGATAAGAAAAATTAACCCACTCTCTGTACCATGAAAACACGCATTCGTGATAATGCTTCTATTATAGTAGAAGATTGTTTGATTTTATACATGAAGAATGAAATTACTATTTGCTAATTTTTTATGAGTAATAAATATTTATTCTTTGTGACACGACAAATATTTATTTTTGTCAATATGAACAAAATGTGTTACTCTATTTCTTTATTGAAACTAAAAAGTTAATTTGTTTAATTTAATAATATTGTAATTAATAATAATACTAAACATCACTAACCTCAAACCGGGTACTAAAACAATCGACAATAAGAAATTATACTATTTTTAATTAATGGTAGCTTCGATAATATTAGTTGCAAACATTGGTAGTTTTAACTGGTACACTAAAAGCAACAGTATGGTAGTTCTGGTTATTTTAGGATTCAAAGTGACATTAATTAATGATTTCATTTACTTGTTACATCATTGTTTGTTTTTAACTACTAGTTACTAGTATCAAATTCCACTCAACATTTTGAACTAATTTTTCATGATTAAGAAAAAAATTTGTTTTACTTGAATTATTTTTGAGTATACATTTCATAACAAAAAGAAATAATGACCGGGTATAGTAAGATGCAGGAAAATTCAATACTATTTGGATATGTCATTCATTTAAATAGATAAATGTTATTGTATAAAAGCCGGACATGTTATTAAATTTCTTCATTGAACGAGAAAGTGTAAAAACATTAAATTTTGTCGATTTCGTGCAACATACGCGCAATTTTCTAACCTTAAAATATACTCACTTTCTCCACTATGGTAAATGTTTCTCCTCAAGCAGAGATTGTTCTCTGCAACTTTGAATTTCCGTATTCACAACTTGTTCAAACTAGTAAATTTATAAAAAAAATACCAGAAAGAATTTTTTTTTTTGAGATGTATTAGCGGTACATTTTTTTCACATGATTACACATTATCATTGTCGTCGCCCTCCTTCTAGTCGTCGTTGACATTTCACGAACGTAGTTTATCGATGTGCGACGATTCTCTCTCTATCTCTTTTCTCGTGCAGCTTTGGAGAACTGTTATGGCGTCGCGCATGCGTTTCTCGTATTTTTAAGTTTTACAGAGTTTCACGTTTGTGAAGTCTGCAGGTGCGAGCGATGGTCTGTAAAATCGGGAAAATAAAAATAAAAAAAGCACACGTGCTGCCAGCAAGGATTTTCTTTTCCAGTCGCATTTCCATTCATCGCCAAACAAGCTTACATAATACATAACAATGTGCACAGGCGAAAAAGTTATTTGAATTTCGCGCCATTCTTGCAGTACGTGTGTGTTGCATTTATTTAAAACGCGGATTTACCTTAGATTTTCTTTTATTTGTCCCTTTCGAATCTTTCTTTTTGACCTTTTCTTCTCTAATGATGGACATGTGTTTTGTTCTAAGATTTTATTTTTATTTTTATTTTATTTACTTTACTTTTAGAAATGTTAAATTAAATGTATAAATATTTGTTTATCTATTTATTTAAGAAAGTTGAAAGTCCCTCTAGGGCTAAATATGAAATGATGAGTAAACAAAATGAACACTCAGAGGGAAATTTGTTTGAAACAATATTTTAGTTGCATAAACCAAATAAGTGTGTATATTACAATTTGTATCGAAACATTTGTTTGGTTTAACTAACCTTAACTTTAGCTGACTAAATTCTTTCTTTGAATGCAAAATTTAATAAACTGAAACATTATTTATATCAAGTAAATAATTATTTAAACCAACTTTATGTATAAAATAATCTAAACATTAGGTTTATTCAAACAGAGTATAGTTGCTTCAAACATATTTTTTTCCAAGTGCACTTTGTTACTATTATCATAATAATTTTTTAGTTTAGTCACATCACATATTGAAATTTCTCTGCATAATTTCTGGTAATATAATTGATACTCAGTGATGATTTATGCATCGCAAACAACACTTAAAACCGATTATAAATCGTTAGATCAATATTAACCTGTGACGTTTGATTGTATTCATAAGCATCAATAAACATTTGCCAATGGTAAATATAAAGGTATTCATTATTATTTGTTATATTGTTATAACGGTTTTTCAGACACATAAATTATTTCTACCGATTTGTCGCGAATATAAATGCCGTAGAATTGTTTATATATACGCGGCGAATTTCTGAAATGAATATGAATAATTTCATATGAATTTATTTTATATACACGTGTATGATTGACACAATGTACTTAAAAAATTAATGAATCTAAAGTTCAAACTTGGTAATTAAAAAATTTATCATTTATTTATCACAATTTACCATTCATAACTAGACGGGAAAATTATTTTAAAATATGTATATAGAAAATATTATGTTTTATGGTAGTTATTAATTTTCACGTTCTGTTTACATTTATTGTAGGAAATTAGTACAGAATTGTTGATTATAATTTTTTTTTAATTCAACGGTTTATTGTTGTGTAGTTTTTCACATCTGTTAACATTTTTTGAAACTTATTAATAATTGACGGACAATTACTTTGTAACTACCATTCATTGTATTAAATTGTACGATTGATTGTTATCGACGTTATTTACCTATATACAATAATTGTATTTTATTTTAATTAAATATATTTTATGTATGCGGCTATATGATACTTTTTATTTGGAAATATTTTCTAAATACTAGTAAATAATGTACAGTTAGGGAAAATGGCGTGTAATATTATAATGACCCTTGAAATTTGAAACTTTTTAAAATTTTCTACATGGTTCTCATAGTTTCTCGTGACATGAGGAATAGATGATGTTTATTCACAACGAGATACGGTTGCTGGGAAGTGAGAGAAACAAATTAGACTCTTGCCCGACCCTTTACACTTGTTTCATTTCTCAAGATAATTACGGAACGAATACGCATACTATATATATATATGAAAATTTAACGTGTATGTATATTTTTAGATTGAACGAATGAGCTTTTAGTCTTAAGCACATATACAAAATCTTCCATCTAAAAATATACATTAGTTGCATTCCAGTATTTTCTTAACCGGAATTATTCAGCCGATGCAATTTACATATGTAGTTGATTTTGATAAATTGCATTCTTTAGTGTTTTAAATATATTTTTTTTTTGTTTTCAGAGAGAGATTTTCTATAAAAATAAATGCCTCGACGTCTATTTTCGAAGATGAATCATCGACAAAAGCTGACTTCTTGTGTACATGTGCAAAAAGGAGACATAACATTTGCTGTGACATGACGAGTATATACTTGACGTTTATGGAGGATCATAAAAGTGAGTTTTTGAAAATTATTATTTTTTTGTTTTTAGTATAAGTTTAGAAGGAACAATAGAATTTAAGTTTCGACGTTTCGAGACATTCCCCTGTCCAAAAATAAAATCGGAAAATTAGGTGAAGTTAAAATCCGTTTTAAATATTGTCTCACTTTATCATAACTTATTAGCATAAAATTTGTTTCGTTTTGATAGGTCCTTTTTCAAAATGATTAATATTGTATTTGATTCACGCATTTTTAGTTTGATCAATATACGAAACGCCTTTTAATGCGCTTTCACTTCCGATAAAAGTCTACACGTTCCTGTGTTACATTGAAACTGTTTTAAGAGCGAAAACGATTCCACACAAAGTGTTTCGGGAGAGTGATTTTTTTGCTCACCTTTTAAGACGCGGAGTAAAAAAACCCATATGTCGAGCTTTGAGAAACAAAAAAAAGTGAGATATGGAATTTTTTACCTTTACAATATTGAAAAAATAAAGAAAATATTTTCTCCTCTCTACAATATTATTTATTAATCAATTTGATATTCGCCTGTCTGTATATGTATATCTTTTCGTGGAAAATGTTTAATTCACCATGTAGATTTTGATATTCGTGTTGGTATATATATATAAGCAAACAATCTACATGTTTGTTATGTATATAGAGAATTTGAAGCACACGGAATAGAGAATGTATATACATATATGGAGAAAAATAGCTGTATGCTCTATCGCAATTTTCTTATCGTAGCGTACGCATGAATTCCGCATTTTCCGCTTCCATTCATCGCCGCCAACTGGGAGAAATAAGTAGATAAAACCATTGCCAAGTGCATTTGTTACCAAAGACTGACAAGTCAATACATATACATATAAGCTAATACAACTTGGCAAACGTATACCTTTTACGAGCCCACTTTCAATATATATAAACCCCTTAAAAATTCTTTCACAAACATGTCTGAAAATGTTCGCTTTTTCCTCATGTCCGGATAAATCCTAAATGTTCCAATTCTTTGGCAAATTGCTATTTTTCTATATTCCCTCAATTCTGTATTTTTAATAATAATAATAATAATAATAATATTGATGACGAACAGTTTGTGAAATTCTGACAGTTTTACTCTTCAATCTTTTTGAATCTTATCCTTTTCTTCTCTTAGAACAGTTAATATTTTAAATTATCTTGAAAAGTTGTAAAAAACATTCTTCTGCTATCACTGTTTCTCCTGGAAAATCGTTGAAATTTCGACGTATTTCTATGGCATTTCCAATTTCTCCAACTTTCCAGGTAAATTTTCGCCTAAAGTCAAAACCATTCGTGTTGAGTCATTCTATCATTATTTACCTACAATATTCCTGGAAGGACAACCCGTTAACATCTTTACGACTGAATTATCGCTTTGGTTATTGATCTATTGTTCGTCGCAAATTTATGGGACAATGCAGATTCTGCAGGTGACCCAGAGAGAGTGAGAGAGGAGTATCGACTGGTTATGGGCAGTCACGTTTGTCAATGATTGTATTGTCGTGAACGATCTCTCTATACTGTACCTCTCGTCATCTATAGTGTTTATTACATCAGGAAATTCCAATAATATTTATAAAGTTTTTAGTGTAGAATTTCAAATAAATAGAACTTTTAGACTATTTGGAAGACAAAGAACATAATTCATTCTTATCGATTAATAAAATGTGTGCACATCTCGAGGTTTACGATGTGCGGTTATAATGCCCTTGGCTAGAGCCCTATACTGGAAAGTGCCATACCCTTCTGTATTTCGATGCAAAATTAAGAGCCCATTTACCCGCAGGCCTCGTGTCTTGATGTTGCCAAAATTCGCTCTTCAACTACTGTGAACCGCAAATACACGTCCGACATATTTTATGGATGTCGTTAACGAATTTCTCCAAGCTCAATGGGAGGTCCTTGTTTTGGCCCTTAGGAGGTAACCGAGAGAGAGTACCTTTTCTCTGCTCCATCCCCCCTGCTCGAGGTATATACGTGTCTTCATCAGGATCAAAAGGTCTCTCTATGAATGCTCAAGTACATTATTTCGAATAATTGGCTTTTCCATTTCTAATCCCATAAGGGTTTGGAAATGAAAGTTGGATACTGAACTGATGTATCAGTTTCTTTGAGAATTCATTACGTTTCCATTTAGTGTCAAGTTCTTTTTATTTTTAATAGATCATTTTGTGTTTACATATTCTATTTTTTAAGGAAAAGATTGTTCTAGTAATAAGTTAGGACCAGTAATAAATTTTTGGACTAACAATTGTTAGCAAACAGTAGATAAAGTTCTCTAAAAAATAATTTTTCATCTTCTGCTGATTATCGGCTGTGGTTACTTTTTATAAATTGTGAATTAAATTAATTTTGAGGACCCCGATATTAATTGGAATTGTTCTAGTAATAAGTTAGGAGCAGTTTTAAGTAAAATGTTCTCTTATTTGACTCGGACTGGTTATGTTTTTGTCAGTAATACTTTTACTGGTTCGAGGCCGGATTTTGAAAAACTAGATAAACGCACAATTTAAAAACTACAATAGAGAAAATTATAAGGTTGTAAAAATAAATTAATAGGAGAATATTTTTAATTCAAGACAAATTGATGTGGTTATAAATAGAAAGAAAATTATAAAGGAAAGAATTTTTCTAATTTTTAAGAATAATTTTATCACCTCCGCGAGATATTTATAATTTTTATAAATATTGTTTTCTAATCCAACTATATATAAGAATGAATTTATTATTTTGCGCAATAATTAACTTTAGTTCTCAAAGTTTTCTTCAAGTGTGAGAAGATTTACTTGAATATTGCACCCGCGCGCGGAGATAACTTGAGAGGGAACAACGACCTGCCAATCGCAGGCGTATCAATTCGGTGCACGCGAAACAATCGATTAAGTTTTGGAATTGTCGTCGTATTATGGAACACACCCTCTGAATTATCTCACGAGATTAATTTCCCACTCGACATAGATCACATTCTAAAGCGAAAATCTCTGGATGGTGTGTCAGCAGCGTTCCTGGAACGTGTGCGGACGAAAGAGAGAGAGAGAGAGAGAGAGAGAGAGAGAGAGAGAGCGGGCGCGAGAAGCGATCTTTAACACCGCATCGCACCGACAAACTGTGAAAATTCTCCTACTAACAGAAAAGTGGTGTACGTATTAAAGATCTTTTTACGATTTATTGTAAGCATTAGTTACATGGCTCTGCAAACTTACGCTAAAAGTACACTTGAGACTTCTTATTTTTTTAACATTCTTTATGGTCGTGATAAATTTGATTAATACCTGGTAATAGACATATCATTTCTTATATGTTGTTTTCACTCAATGGAATATGTTTCGCTGTTAAAATTTTATCGGATATTTTATAGGGTATAAAAAATGTTCTTTGAACGGAAATTACATGGTATCAAGAAGTTAAGATAGTGTAATATTTTGCGCGTAAAGTCGCGATGAAGTTTTTTCCACCCTTAGAGAGAGATAATGTGTTGCTTTTTTTCTCTCGTATGGAAAAAATATTCCCAATAAATAAGAGCTTTCTTTTAATTTTTATTTAACATTATAGATCATTTCAGTATCGACTAGGAGGCCGTCCATAAATTACGTAACACGTTTTTAGTGAAATTTTGAACCCCCCCTCCCCTTATGTAACAAGTTATAACAAAATCGTTTTACACCCCCCCCCCTATCAATGTTACGTAATTTTTAAAAATATTTTTTTTACTAACGTTTTTCGAAACAAATTTGTTTATTACTGTTATTTTTAGTATTTATATCGTACAAATAGCAATACAAAATTAAGTTAAATATAAAAAACATTTAGAGGAATAATTTTATTAATCATACTGAACAACCAAAAATATAACATTGATTTTTTAACAATAAAAATTGTATATTATTCCCAAGAATCGATTCGCGAAATGATTCGATTTTTACTTATTTTGAAGTGGCGGCAAGGGACAGCTTTTCAAAAATTTATCTTTTATAAAGAGATTAAGTTCCTTATAAATATTACGTAACAATGATGATTGACCCCCCCCCTCCCATGTAACATATGATAACATTTTCTCGAACCCCCCCTCACCCCTAAACGTGTTACGTAATTTATGGACAGCCCCTAGTCTCTAATTCTTATATTCTCTACGAATATCCGAATTGTGAACATTAAATATTATGTTACAAAATATGTATTAATTATTATTATTAGGTAATAGTAGAAGGTATTAATAATAATAACATCTATGAGAAAGCAATCTTATATAATATATTTATTACTAAATATAAATATATTAAAATAGGAATGAAAAATCCTCCTTTTTTTAAACAGACAAAAATTGTAATTTGTAAATTAACATTTTTGAAATACGGTAATATAAATGTGTTATAAAAAATAGTAATAATTAGAATGATGAATATTTCTCTTCACATTGAAATGGAAAAATTATTTTCCTCATTATATTTATGAGTTATTTCTCTAATATTGAGATTTGTTTCTGTGCCACAAAGTAAAGGGAGAAAAGAAAACTCTTGCTTTGAGAGGAAATTTTTTTTACTGAGAGTATCCATTAATATGAGTCACTGTTTTACATTCCATTTAGAATTTTTTTTTTTTCTAATTATTTGTATCATGCTATTCAAGTTTTTAGTGTGCGTGTTAGTTGTCATTGTAATTAACAAGCGGCACATGTAGCGTCTGCGTGATATATCGTAATTTAACATTTATTATAGGAGGGCAAACATTTTTGTTGACTTCTCTTAATTACAGTAAGCCGTTGACGATTTTTCAAACATTAGTCTCGATTCTTTTTTTTTCTTTCCTTCTTCTTTCTTTTTTTTAATTTAAACGATTTTTTACATTTATTGAGATGCAATAAATTAAAGAATAATTATTTCTTACTTTTATTTTAAAATGTAAAAATAAATTATTTCTCTTTTGTAAATCTTTTTTAACTTTTTGTTGATTTCATATATAATAATGTTTGTGTAGTATGTATTTGGA